GCTCAATAGATGAGTAACACACAAATTACTATTTGTCCTGATGAGGTCTTAGATGGAGGTGGAACAGGCCAAACTGTAGAAGAATGAGATCCCAAGAGTTGGCAAACCACAGGTTGGTGAGGGCTGGGGCGTGGGTAACGGCGTGTGTCGTAGGGACTGAGGCACAGGGAGAGCCCCGAGGCAGGTCTCGTGCCGTTAGTCCAGCACAGGGTTTCTCATCCTCAACACTATTCACATGTGGGACCAGATGAGTCTGTGGTAGGAGGCTCTGTGCACTGTCTTTCTAGCAGCATCCCTGGCCTGTCCCCACTAGAGACCAGTAGAAGCCTCCCAGTTATGAAATCAAAAATGTCTCCAGACACTGTCAACTATTCCCTGGAGAGCCAAATCCCCTCCAAGCTGAGAACCCCTGCTCCAGCAGGCAGAGTGTATCCAATATCACTAGTCACCCAAGGTCTGAGCGGAGCACATGAGGCAGAACACCTGTCTTGGCAGAGATGGGTGGGTCGGGCACGTGGCAGAGCTGGGGGCAGGTGGTTGGCTACAGGCAGCCTGGCAGCAGGCACCAAGAGGAGTGAGTGGGGGCTAGGACCCCAGCTGCTGGGATCCCAGCGGCACAGCAGGGTCAGAAGATGGTTCAGATGATGCTGAACTTGGGAGCACCCCGCTACTCTTGACGCCCCCCTGTTCAGGACCAGGACTGGGTCCAGCGACTGGGTGGGACCAAGTCCAGGGATGATGGGGAGGGGACTTACCTGCCCATTTTAGAAGGGGCTGAGGGCCCAGCTGACCCTTCCACCCTTGAGAACTTCGTGATCTCCAGCCAGGAGAACATAGGCTGTGGGGCAAGAGAGACCAGGTTCAAATCCAAGCTCTACAATATGGAAATAAAAGCTAAACAATAAAATTACGCCAGGCGTGGTGACTCATGCGTGTAGTCCCAGCATTTTGGGAGGCTGAGGCAGGCAGATAGCTTGAGCTCAGGAGTTTGAGACCAGCCTGGGCAATATAGCAAAACTCCATCCTTACAAAAAATTCGGAAATTAGCCAGGGGCGGTGTGTAGTCTCAGCTACCTGGGAGGCTGAGGTGGGAAGATGGCCTGAGCCCAGGGAGGTTGAGGCTGCAGTGAGCTGTGACTGCACCACTGTACTCCAGCCTGGGCAACAGAGTGAGACCCTATCTCAAAAATAATAATTTAAAGTTTAAAACTTTAAGAATCAGATGCCTTTGGGAGGCCGAGGCGGGTGGATCACGAGGTCAACAGATCGAGACCATCTTGGTCAACATGGTGAAACCCCATCTCTACTAAAATTACAAAAAATTAGCTGGGCACGGTGGTGCGTGCCTGTAATCCCAGCTACTCGGGAGGCTGAGGCAGGAGAATTGCCTGAACCCAGGAGGCGGAGATTGCGGTGAGCCGAGATCGCGCCATTGCACTCCAGCCTGGGTAACAAGAGCGAAACTCCGTCTCAAAAAAAAAAAAAAAAAAAAGAATCAGATGCCATCACTTAAGAGCAAAGTGACCACCTTAGGCAGGTTGCTTAACCTCTAAGCCTCAGGTTCCAAGTCTATGGAAGGGGTGATAATGCCAACCTCACAAGGTTGTCATAAAGATGCAGTATGGTGTGATAGTTACCATACTTAGCACTGTGCCCTATGTCTGCTGCATAATGGGCACTCAGTAAATGATGCCGATTGAGTTAATGAAGGAATGAAAAAATGAATCCTCCTACAGCAAAGCTTTCTCCCTTAAACCCTCATGTTTGTTTTAGTTCTCATCTCTGGAATTCCTCTAGCTTTCTAACATAGGAAACTGTTGCGTTCTCAGCAGAAGGAAATGAATTATTCATCTCTTATCATCAGAGCTTTGCATCAGGACTGGTAGATAATAAGTGCTTAAAAAATGAAGTTTTCCTTCCTCAGAGGACAATGACTATACTTGATTCATCTTTAGAGAGCCACAGCCCAGCACAGTGACTCCCACACAGTAGGCATTGTCAAGTGTTTGCTGAATGAACATACCAGAAGTGGTTGGGAAAAAAGTCCCAACCCACAATGCTATCCCAGAATTCTTCATAGGGGTCCATCTCTATGTGTCCATTTTGGGGGAGCATGGCTGCCTTGCTTGGAGGAGGTGGGTCAAACCCCGGGGGTGAACAGTAGTGGCCTTAGCAGGAAGCTGAGGCGCTGGCGATAGACATCAGCAGGGAAGTCTCAGGCAGAATGTCCCCACCCTGGATGGCTGCTGTGACCCTTCCCTGACAGCCCTGCTTGCAGCCTGCTCAGCCCACCTGAGGACGCTGGGACAATCTTCATAGTTCTCCCTGCTGCAAGAAACAGGTGTCCTCCTGCGGAAGCAGCAGGTGTGTGGGTGGAGTCCAGGTGTTTTCCTCCTCCCTCCAGATGTGGTAGTGTGGGCTGTACCTCGGCAGGATCAACTGCACAGGTCATGAGATATGGTGTGCTGTTAGGAAGACACCAGGATGGGGAGTCAGGAGACTGAGTGCTGGTCCCATCCCCATCACCTGCCCACAAAGTGGCCCTGGATGGTCATGAATCTCCCTGGACCTCTCTTTCTCCATCTGTACTGTGGGGACTTGGTAATGCCTTGGAGTGACTCCATCCTTTGGCGCCTGGCCAGGGCGATAGGCACAGCCAAGTAGCCCACATGGGAGAGCAACAAGTGACAGCCAGGCACTGCTAGATTTTGCAAAGCCATCAGCTCCCCAGCATCTTAGAGCTGCCAAGCATTGAACACAGCATCAGGGGAAGCATCTGCTTGGAATCCCAGGGCTGTCCAAATACAGGCCTGTTGCATGAAAGTTGGCAGGGGCAGGATGGCAGTTGGGCTTTCCAAGGCACCCAAAGATTTTCCAGGGGGACCCATGAGGACCATCCTTAACAGGGGAAAGCCTTCTTTTATAGCACCCCTATATCTTTTTCCCTTCCTATGGCACAGCATTAGCTCACAAAGAGGATTTTCCTGCTTCTGAAGTCCCTGTAAGGGACAGGGATGGGGAGTGGCACCCTGGAAGAGCTTGGCAGAGCCAAATGCCCTTGCGTAAGACAAAGGCACCTGTTAAAGACAGATGAGAGGATTGAGTCAGAGAAGGGGGAGGCTGATCATGACAGGCATCCCAGGGGAAGGACTGGAGAGGACTGGGTCTGCAGGCAACTGCGGGGTCAGGAGTAGGTTGCTTTCTGAGCGAGAGACAGAGAGAAAGGCACTGTAGAGAAGAGTCCAGGGCGCTCCCATTCACTAGCTGCATGGCCCTGGGGAGTCACTCAAATTTCCGCTGTCTCAGTTTCCTCATCTGCAAGGCGGGAATGATAGAACCTACTGCATAATGGAAGACACCTCAAATTGTGCCTGGCACCTAATAAGGACCATAGAGATGTGTGCAGTGACAATGGTGGTAGTAATATAAAAACCCTCAAAATCTTCAGTAGAATTCATCTCCCCCAGGGGTGGGCCCAGCAAACCGCTCTTCAGCCACTGGGCTGAGTGTCGAGTCTCGTGCCAGCTACCTGGCTGTATCTGGTGACACCTATGCAGCCGAGATTGCCAACAACAGGCAGGGCTGCCCTCAGAGCTCCAGCCTGGGTAACTGGGGGCATTACCAGAGCCTGCCACAGTGGGAGCCAGGGCCCCATCAGGCCTAGCAGGCACAAGTCATCTGCTTTCCATGTGGCTGAACCATCCCAAAATTGCCACGGGCTGAATTTTGTCACCAGCCTGATTCTCATACACGGGACACCTCCCCCCTCTGGGAAGCATAGACTCCCCAGCTGGGCTGGCCCCTCTGGCAGGCTGCACTCTGGGATATTTTCAGATTCTGGGTGACATTCCTCTGCCCCTCAGCCTAATGGGTCCCAGATGCTCCCCCCTGCCCAGTGCTCCCTCCCACATGTTCTGGGCCCTGCATGCAAGCCTGGGGCCTGGGGCTTGCTCACCCAGGCGCTACACCTCTTGACTTTTTCTGTTGCTTTTAATTTAAAACATTTTGTTCCCCCTTAACATGATGGCTTGACAGAGGCCAGCATGAAAGAGGCTGTTTCTTCCTGGATGGTGACCAGGGCAGGGAACGGACAGATGAAGGAGGAGAGAAGGAAGCCGGCTCTGGGAACGGGAGGAGCACGGGGAACATAGGAGCCTTTATTGGCCAAACATAAAAGAAGCAACAGGAGTCGCAGCTGAGTTAACGTGGCCAGGGCACTAGGGGCCGGGCAGACGCACCAGACCCAGCTGGGAATCACTGGGGCGGGCGGGCCATGGGGGTTTCGTGGCTCATGTTCTGCAGAAGTGCTTTTCCTTCCCAATCTTTCTGGGGCTGCTTTTCTAAACCTTCCCTCCTCCTCCTTACCCCTACTCCTTTTTTCTCCCTCTCGGAACACTTGAATTTGTCATTCTTGGCTGTTGCCAGTAATGAGATAGGTCTGCTGCTGCGGCCGTGGGAGGGAGGCAAGGAGTGGACACCAGGAAGAGAAAGGAACCGAGAGAGGCATGGAGGAGGGTGGGGCCGGAGCCCGAGAGGGGCTTTGAGAAAGAGGCTGTGGGTGGCAGACCCTGGAGGGGTGGCGTGCCCAACTCACTGTTAAACAGAAACCAGGCTGGACCCATGGGCCTCAGTCAGGGTGCACCATGAGCAGCCGCGCCTGCCCTGCCTGCCTGCTGCTCCTCCCTGGCATGGCACAGTGCGCACAGGGGCGTGCGTGCTAACAACCCTCATCTTTGCAGGGTCTGTTATTTCCACCTTCCTCAGTGTGCTTCAGTGCCCACCATCCAGTGTTCTGCAAAGCAGCCTTGTAAACACTTTAGGCGGGTCCTGAAGAGCCCATTTAGTAGGGTAGGAAGCTGAGGCAGAGGGGTCACTGGCAGGTCCCCAGCAGGGATGAGCCTGGGGCGCTGGCCTCTGCATTTCTCATCCAATTATGAAAGTATGGAGAGGAAATAAAGAGGGAAGAGATTGTATTGGTGAAAGTGGGCCAGGAAAAGACAATCTTTGAAGACTTGATGGAAACCCCTCTGCTGAAGAATTCTTGGACACTGCTTCCCAGACAGCCTCCCACCTGCCCCTACAGCAATGACACTGACCCAGGCATTTTTCCCTCTCTTTCAGGACCTCCTGTAAGTACTCAAGCCGTGGGTCTCATGCATCTGAAAGGCCTGTGTCACCTGTTGGTAACGGGGTTCTGGGTATGGGCACTGAAAGCTGGGCTCCTGCTGTCTTGGGGGGCCCTATATGGGCACCTGAGGGGTCCCTCCAGAATGCTTCTTGGGGGGAGGAGGGCACCATTTTGCTTTTCACCCACCTCTGAACCCCTCCAGGGCAAGACAGTGGCTGCCCCCAGGGCAAAGTAGGCTCCAAATTTCAATCTGAAAGGGTGGCTTTCCCTCTAATTAGCTCTGTTCCTTTGTGCCCCAAAGAAACAACTGGAGTCAAAAAAAAAAAAAAAAAAAAAGCACCAAGTATTAGAAGAAAAGAGGTCATCTCTCCTCAGTTCTGCTCCTTGTAAGGTCTCAGAAAACAGGTCACCGAGCTGGTTCCAAGTGTGGTCTGCTCCAGAGGACTCATGTCCACATCCCTGAGTGGGCAGCTCCATTCTGGCGAAGCCACTTTGGGCAGGTGGTGGTGGTGGTGGCCATGCTTATGTAAGAGAGAGTGGGTCAGCCGGCTAGACTGGGAGACAGCACGTAATTACAGGCAGCGTGCCTCGCTCCTTCCCGGCCTTGCTAGGAAGCCCAGGGTGGGGCGGGGAGTGGAGCCTTCCAGAGAAACTGAGAAGAGCCCAAGGAGACTGCCTCCCTGAAGTAATGGATCCAGAGAACAGGAGTACCTGTCTTTCATATCCCAACAAAAGACCAGAGGGCGCTGGGGGAGCTGGAGATAGGAGTTGAAAGGGCCCAGCCTCTCATCAGATCTTTCTCAAGGTTGCTCAATTCAGCCCTATCATCATCCCTTCCTTGGAGAAGTCATTTCTATAGCGGTTTTCCTCTTGATCTGTACCTGTGGGAGCCACCTGCCTAATTTTTAGTAAAGGCCGTTATTGAATACTCCATTTGTCCCCTGAAAGGCCCTTGCAACCCACGCTGAGGATCCCATGCCCTCGACATGTCACAGTGAGGCAAGGCCTGTCACGTCATTGCTTGAAAGGAGGGATGATTTATTATGGCATGTTTGGAGGGATAATTCCTATTATCCATCTTCCAAAATAAACTCTGCCATAGAGAGCTTTCACCTGTTGGAAATGGGCTCGTTTTCCCTGCCTTATTCAGAGGAAGTCACAGGAGCCCTCAACTGCTCCCACCCTGCCTTGGGGCCTCCTGCACACACCTAACCCTCAGGGCCAGGACAGCTCTGAGTCCCTGTCTGACTTGAGGGTCCTTCCCTCATTAGGAATTTTGAATTCTGAGACCTTGTGCTGGCCTGACCCGGGGACTGTTCACAGACCCCTTTGGGTCTGTGCTGAAGGGAACCATGAGGTGGAGGGGATGAGTCTCAGTCTCTACCCACAGAGTGAAGGATAAAGGCCCAGGTAGCTTTCTCCACCTTCTGAGTCCAGCGCAGAAGAGAAGCTTTGCCCAGTGCTGGCTGAAACCACAAGGCAAGAGGAGGAAGAAATGGGAAGCTGGCCAGGGCAGGAATCACCTCCTCAGCCCTGTTCTCTCTGGTTCCTGCAAAAGAAGAATGCTGATGACCAGAGAGAGAAGGTCTGAGATGCCTGTCTGCTGCCCTCTGGGTGTATCCTGGGGGCTGGCTCTGTCCTCCAACAGGAAGACCCAGGTTCCTGTGGGCACAAGCTCAGCCAGTGCCTGGAGAACACAACCGTGCAGGATGGATTAAAGCTGCAGGAGAAACCATTTAGGTGGAAGCAAATTTGCAGCCACCACTGCCCCACCCGTCATGCCCCTGGCAGACATTGCTAATCAATTAGGAGGCTTTTTAACATAACCCATTAGTCAATTACTCCCAATCCATTGGCCATCCCTGGATTCTATTTAAGGGAGAATTTCTCAATGTTGGGAGCTGTGAGACTGAAAACAGATGACCAAGGGAAATAGGGATGTATCTTTCTCTGAAGGAATATAGGGAAATATTTGCTGGCAGCTGCCAGGCCTGGTTGAATATGGTCCTTGTCGAAATAGTAGCTAACACTACTGTGTGTTAGACACTGCTATGTTTTTATGGAGGCAGTGTAACAGTGATTACCAGCCTGGGCCCTGGGGCCAGACCAACTGCAATCAATCCTGGCACTGTCACTTTTTGCTGTGTGACCTCAGCAGGTTACTTAATCTCTCTCTGCCTCAGTCCCCTCATCTGTAAAATTAAAATAGTGTCTTCCTCATATGAGTGTTGTAAGGAGTGTGTGTGTGTGCTACATATATGTATATTTTTCCTTGAATATATTAATTCATTTGCTCCTGAAAGCAATGAGGCTTCCCTAGATGATCCCTGAGAGTTTTTTGCAAACGTTTAATTTTTTTCTTTTTTAGAGGCAGGATCTCACTCTCGTCACACCAGGCTGGGGTGCAGTAGTATGATCATAGCTCACTGAAGCCTCAACCTCATGGGCTCAAGCAACCCTCCTGCCTCAGCCTCCCAATTGGCTAGGACTACAGGCTAGACTACACCTGCTATTTTAAATGTTTTTTTTTTTCTTTTTTAAAAGAGATGGGGTTTTGCTATGTTGCCCAGGCTGGTCATGAACTCCTAACCTCAAGCCACCCTCCTGCCTCAGCCTCTCAAGTGTCTGGGTAAACATTACATTTGAAGGAAGAAATTATGATTTTGTGAATTTTATTAATGAATTTATTATTTATTTCTACCCCATTTCATTCCAAGAGACATTTTCAGGGGAATTGGAAGGTCACTGCCCACTTCTCAGCCCACTCTGTGACATTAGGGGACAGGCAGTTTAGAAGCGAGAGGAAGAGGGCATTGGTTCAGCATTAAGGTTCTGGTTTTAGGGACGCAGGGCCTGGGCTGTCCTCGTGGGGGCCTGGGAAAGTAGGAGTGTTGCCAGGTTCTGGCATCTGCAGGCAGATTGATTCCTTCGTTAATGTGTCTTGAGGACTATTGAGAGCTCCACATTGCTGAGGCACTGGGGACACAGTGAATGAAACAAGAAAGTCCCTGCCTCAGGACCTCACATTTTAGTGCAATGGGACAAAACCAACATGACCGGGATGGCAGCCAGTCCTGTCCCCATGAAGCCTGTAGCCCCAGATTCCCCAAGGACCCCCCAGCTGGCAGATGTCACTACATCACTGCTGAGGGGATGTCCTCACAAACAAGGGTTAGAAGGGGTGACTTATTCCTGGAGCTGCCTGAGCTTTTCTCAGCAGCCCTTCAAGGATGGACTTGTCTCCCAGGGAACCCCCCAAGACCCACTCCTGGTTCTGCCTCCGGCTTATGGGAAGAGCAGGATGTCTGGAAGGAGAGAAACTGAATGTGGCAGCAGGTCTCTGAAGGGAGAAACCAAGGCCAGCCCCACGCACATCCCTGGCGGGTCCTCTTCTGATACTCATGGTAGTAGCTGCATTTATTTAGCACTTGCTATATGTCAGCTGCTGGGCTCAAAGCTTCACATACATTCTCCCATTTGATCCTAACAGATAGGTAATGATTATTCTTCCATTTTCAAGATGAGAATACCAAGGGACAGGGAGACCAAGACACTTGCTGGAGGTTTCCCTGGTAGTAAGTGGCAGAGCCAAGAGGTGAACACAGGTGGGCTGTCTTCAGAGCCAGAAATGGAAGGAAGCTTCATGAGCCTTAGGCATCAAGGCTCTTCCTTCATTTTGTTCGTAAAATTGCAACGGCTCACCCAAGGGGCTTGCTAAGTGGTTTGCCGAGGTCACACAGCTGGTTGGGATAGTGTTTGACAGTTATGTGTTACAATACCCTGCCTGACCTATGGCAACTTCACTCTTCATTTCAGGGTCCCACTGGAAGGCCTGGACTCCCAGTAAGTAATTTTTGTTTCTTTTTCCTTTGGGCCTATTTTACGTGCTCCTTCTCAGTCTGAGGACTGGCTAGGTTGGGTGGCTTGTTTTCTCCAGGTGTATCTGGGTGACAGGCCGTTCTCCAGAATCCCTGATCTGTATAGCTTAGGGTGAAGCTACTTCAGCTCCTTTGTCCTTTGATATCTAGAAAGGACCCTACTGGGGCATCTTCAGCTGCAGACCTTAGTACCCCTCCCGGGGCCCCCAGCAGACAGATCGCAGCATGCAGGCCCTTCCAAAGCTGGGACTGATTTCCAGACTGATGGGCAGCTGTAGGGACGGACAGCCCATGGGCACACTGACTATCCCCCTGCACACCAGCTGACATTCAAATTACTGTTCTCCTCTACCTGCTGGTGAGACAGTGGACTCATAAACTTTGTTTTCCCTCAATTACCATGTCCCAATTCTAGGGACTGTGGGGGAATGTTCAGACTTGCAAATGGAAACTCTCCTAGTAAGAGCCCCAGTGCAAAGGAGTGCCCAAGTAACCATGGAGACGCTGGGACAAAAGAGATAGCCATCTCTTACTGAGACCCTAAGAGGAGCCAGGCACTGCATTTATCCCCTGTCACACATTGGCTTGTTCAGCACCTCGGTGAAATGGGTATGATTGTAAATCTGTTTTATACATGAGACTCAGGAAGGTAAAATACTTTGTCCATCTGTCCAAGCTTCGGGTGGGGAGCTGTTAGAGGCCCGTATCATCACACACCATTCCATTCTGCTGTTGCTTGTGGTCTGTGCTCCACCTTCGAAAACCGAAAACCGTCTTTAGAGTCTTCTAAGACATTGCTGGGTGGAGTCTAGCCCGGGGCATGGATGAGTTGAATACTGGTTATATGTACCATGGGACCTCAGATGGGAGTGACCCAGGCAAGATGCTACAGCCAGTTAGGGGGCTGGGATCTGGTATGAAGGGCACCCCGGCCTGGGCTTGCAGCAGTCTACCCTGTCTCTCTGTACCAAGACCACATCCATAAAATTCCAGACCCTTCTGTGCATCCCTCTTACCTAATGACTCCCCTTTTAGACATGGATTATACTGGAATCTTTGGACGAATCCAACAGCTTCTAGAATTCATGCCTAGCAGTGGCTGTCTTAATGAAATGCATATGGGAGAATGTTCAGTCTTGCAAATGGAAACTCTCCCAGTAAGAGCCCCAGTGCAGAGGAGGATGGGTGAATCGGTTCCATGAAATCCAAGGAGGGGAAACATCAGATGACCGAGGGGACTGTGGGCAGACTTTGTTTTTTCTTACAACATCCACCTTTAAAAAGCATTTAGGGGGCAATTAGCAGAGCAGGGGCTGCTGCACATAGTTTCCAGTCTCTGGCCATTCCACACCCATCCCTAACCCAAGCATTTTATGGCCAGGACTGCAAAGAGCATTAGTTTCAAAAAAGAAATGAAAAAGAAACCAAAACACACATCCTGAAATATCATTGGAAAGCCCAAGAGTGACTGGACCGTGGGGCTGCCACAGCTGATGGCCAGCCCTGGCCTGGTATCCCTCACAGGCAGAGTCGGTTTCAGATCTGTGGGTCATGGTCCTGTTGATGCGTCCGTGTAAGGGGACCTAGGAGTAACCCTCAGAAAGCCTGTGGATGTGAGCCCGTGGTGCACAAAGCAAAAGGTGTGGCATATAGACATGCTGATGAAATGCACCTGCCCACGGCTGTGCTAGGCTTGACATCTGGTATTGAGCAGATGCCGTTTACCTCAATACCAAAGGCCAGGCAGGGGCCACATGCTTCTCAGAGACAGCATCACATGGCATCTTCCCAGCAATCCCATGAGAGAGAAGCTCTTATCGCCCCCACCCAACAGAACTGACACTCGAGGTTAAGAGAATAGTCGGTGCTTCTAATCTGCACTGCTAGCCTGCCATTCATTAGCAAAAGTGGAACATTTTACTCAAAGCCACCATTGGTCTTGACCATATACGTGAATTTTAAGAGCCTAATTTCAGAAATGGTTGCTTCTCTCAGGCATGTCTCACATACATTGTGGATGTTCATTGTTCCTCAAGGCATTGTGCCTCAGTGGGGTTAGCAGATGCAGAGTCGCCTCAGAAATGCCCATGCAGTCCCCTCCTGCCCAGCAGGCCAGACAAACCACCTTAATCTCCACACCCTATTGCTTTCCATCCTTCAGCTCATAGCAAACTCTAGACCCCACCCCAGGTTTTATGATGTCTGCATGCATATGATTGCAAAAAAAATATTTCTACCAAAAGGAGGAGGAACAAAACTTAATAAGCAGATTTCCAGAGTGAGAAGATGTAACCCCTGGCTACAAAACAAAGCATTTCCCTTGGAGCATCTGCAACTCATGATTCAGCTGAATCCACATGGCTCTTGGTCCTTCCTGTCAGTACTGGAGGTGGCCGCGAGGAAGGAGGAGTGGAGAAAGACTTTAGTTGTTGCCTTCTCAAACCAGGGGCTGGGGAGGAGCACTGCTCTCCAGCCCTGGCAGAGATAGACCGAGGAAAGTGATTCACTCGTCTGTCACATGGGAGCTGCCAGTCACCCTGCTCTGGGCCTTGAAGTTGTGCGTGATAAAGATGAGGCACATCCTGGCCATTGCTAGAATCGATGCAACAGTGAAGTCTAAGGGAGCAAGGGCCTTGAATAGGCATAGGGAAACTGAGGCCCAGGCTGGGACCAGACTCCTCCTTCAGTACTCTTTCCACAACTCTCATGCCTAAGTATACATAGCCATAGCAGTGGCCACTTGCCGAATAGTGTTTGGGGGCTGCATAGGTAGTGCACTTACATGATGCTTGAGCATCATACAGGATGCCGTCCCAGCTGCAGACTGGGTTAGCTGTGCCCTAAATCAGGTGTACAGCTTGCCTGTGGGATTCTTCACATGCTAGCCTGGTTCCAACCACATCTGATTGTTTCTGCCTCCTTCATCATCAGGGGGACAAAGGTGCCATTGGGATGCCTGGACGTGTGGTGAGTTGGCCATTGCTTGCTTCTCCATGCTGGCCTGTCCTCTAAACAATGGCAATGTACTGTCTACCCCAGCCCCAAGGAGAGGGTCAGCACTGTCCCCTCCCCAGGCCCCGGTGTGCTTCAGAGAGGGACAAGGAAGGAGAAGGAAAGTTTTATTCCAGTCCTTCAGACCCCACAATATGGCTTTATTCTCCAGAGAGCTGCCACAGCAAAGGGAACACCCAACAAAGTTGCACAAACAAAGCCCTTTGCCAGTCACCTGCTGGGGACCAGGGGAGAAACAAACAGCTTCAACACTGGGAGGACTCCCACGCTGTCCCCCAAAGCTGGCAGTTCACCCTCAGATGCACAGCTCCTCCTACAACTACCTCTCGGTGGAGCCAGGCTTCCCAGAGGTCTTCTCTGTACACAGAGATGCACTAAGGGATGGTGAAGACAGGGCTTGGTTCCAGGTGGAACCTCCAAGTCCTCACGAGGAGGCTAAGAGTTAAAACATTCCATGTTTCCTGCTGGAAAGTGAAGATGGAGAAGGGGAGATGAGAATGTTTGATGGAGAGGGTGTTTCCCAGAAACGGGAAGGCCAGCAGCAGGCCCTGAGTGTCTGCAAAGGGCTATAAAGAGCGTAAGGTAGTGATGGCCATGCCCCACCCTCACCACTCCCCAGCCTCAACTGGGACATGGCCTCAGCTGCTCTCCCCCGTGACTCCTAACTTGCCATCAGCCATCAGCCCCTGCCTCCGCCTCCACCTGGCTCCCCAGGACTCCTGACCACCCCCATGTCATTCTCAGCTCTGGCTCGAATCTCATGGGATTGGCTGTAGGAGTGAGTGTGGCATCCTTGTGTGAATTTGCACGCCTAGTGTGAGCCTGCTGGTGCTCAGAGGTTGAGAAAAGGCATTCAAAGGATAGCTGACCCTTGCTAGCCCTAACTGCTTGCTGGCATTATGCTAAGATCCTTCCATATGTTAGCTTACTCAGGCTTCACAAGAACTGCATGAGGTAGGCACAGTTTCCACCCCCACTTTTCAGATGAGAAAACTGAGGCTCAGAAGCTAAATGTCCTTCCCAAGGTCACACCGGAAGTGGCTGAGCAGGAATCTGAACTCAGACAGCCCAACTCCAAACCTGTGCTCTTGATTCTGACAATATTAGGATCTCACCGCTCACCACCCACTCCCATTGGCCTTGCTCCCCACTCACCACCCACCCCCATTGGCCTTGCAGCTCTGAGAAGAGTCTGATCCTTAGAATGAAGCCCCAGAGGCCTGGGATATTTTAGAGTTCAGGACAAGTGTTCCATGTCACAGAGCTCTCTCCAGGGCCCACTCAAGACCTGTCTATCAAGGCATAGAGGCTGGGAGCCCTGGGCCTCCCCACATGAAGCTCTCCCACCACTTCCCAGACCAGAGCATAGTGAAATTGCTGCTCGGCCCTGTCTCTTTTCTTTCGTTCTCTAACTCCAGATCCTCAGTCCACCCAAGCTGTCAGAGGTTCTGTACAGAGCAGGGAAACATGATTCAGCCATCCTTTCTCGATGGCCTGAGCCAGGCACCTGAGCCACCATTGCCCTCTAAGCCAATGTCTTCCAGATGAAGATGTTGAGACTCACTGCACCTGAGATAGGGTAGAGTTGGGTTTTGTACCCAAGCCAACTGTGGGACCCCAAAGTCCCTGCTCCCAGTAGGCAAGTTTCATGAGTTTCTTCCCTGAGTGCAGAGACCAGCCCACAGGGAAGGCTGCAAAATGCAAAGTGGCAGCTCTGGCCTCCCCCTCCTTCCCTCCTTCTTGGGCCCTCTGGACACCTCCCCCCAGGAAGTGTCCCCTGAGCTGTATTGTGCCCCATAGCAGCGGGGGGAAGGAAGGGACCTGCAGGAGGTATCCCCACTTCCTTCTTGGCGGGCCTATTTTCAAGCCACTCTGGCTGCTGGTGCTATTTTAAATGTGACAATGGGCCCATTTGGCTGCCCAGGAGGGGTCCTGGCATGAGCCACCTGATTAGGAGTGAGGTGGCCAGTAGGTGTGACATGCCTGGGTCATCCCTGGGGTTTACCAGAGGTGGCGTCATTGGCCTGTCCAGAGCAGGGTGGACTGTCCATCTACTGGTCACTGTGATTGCAAGGGACCCTTGGCCTCCTAACCCGCCTCTGCTGCCTCACTGACCCATGCTCCATCCTTCCAGAGGTGTATGTCCTGCCTTCTGGCCTCCTGTGTTTCTCCATGACCCCTCCCTCTACCTTGCCTGGCCAGCCCCAAGGACTCTCTCTGGCTTGTCTAGCTTGGCAAAGCTTTGTTACTGGTGTTCAGCTGGACATGCAAACGTCCTAGACACCAGTGTCACAACACATCCCTGGGGCAATTCTCCCCCATCCCCACCCCAACCTCAGAGTACCCTGACCAGCTGGGGCCATGGCTTCTGGAGATTTCTGTTTTTTTTTTTGTTTTGAGATGGAGTCTCACTCTGTCTCCCAGGCTGGAGTGCAGTGGCACAATCTTGGCTCACTGCAACCTCCACCCGCTGGGTTCAGGCCATTCTCCTGCCTCAGCCTCCTGAGTAAGTAGCTGGGATTACAGGCTCCTGCCACTGCACCCGGCTATTATTTTGTATTTTTAGTAGAGATGGGATTTCATCATGTTGGTCAGGCTGGTCTTGACCTCCTAACCCTGTGATCCACCTTCCTCAGCCTCTGAAAGTGCTGGGATTACAGGTGTGAGCCACCGTGCCCAGCTGGGGAAGACTTCTTGACTTAGGTGGGATCTTGTTTTCTTTTCTCTATCTCTGTCTCTGTCTCTTTCATCATCTGGCGCTCGCGCTCACTCTCACACGCGCTCTCTCTCTCTCTCTCTCTCTCTCTCTCTCTCTCTCTCTCTCTCTCTCTCTCTCGTGCACGCACGCACACACACACACACACAGAGACACATGCCTCAAGAGGGCCTCTTGCAGCCCCAGCCTTGTTTCTCAGTTATCTGAAGCGGCCACTTCCACATGCCACATGCTGTGCTTGTTGGATGTGGACCTGTCATGTGTCAGCATCTGTGTTTTATTTTTGTTTCTTATTTCATGGTGATTTCTTCTGTTTGGTCATTGTGCCATGAACACGGATTCTCGTGTGAGTGCCTTTTTCTGATCCCCTCTTGTTTCTCTCCCTCCTTCTTTCTTCCTGTACCCTGTGTTGCATGTGGCTGCCCCAGGGAGTAAAGGGTCAACCAGGCGAGAAGGTAAGTCCACTCTTTCCCCTTCTGCCCTGCACCCAGCTTCCTCCTCCAGGTGGACTCTTGATGGGGAGCCTCTCCACCCTCCTCCCACGATGAAAGCCCCAGCAGAAGTTGCTGGCAGGGACTGCTGCCCTCAGCCTCTCATGGCCCAGTTTCCTAACAGCTTCCATACCATCGGGCAGCAGTCTTGGGATTCCTGGGCGGCAGTCCCAGCTTTCCCAGCTGAGCAGGTCTCCCTGCTCTGCCCTGATGGCATGTGGCCTCACCGCTCTGGCCAATTGCAATTTAGTGTAGCTGGAACTGCCCCCAGGGGACCCCCGAGGTTATAGAGTAGAGTCCCCCTGAGAAGTCATAACCCCAGAAGCCATCCTGGAACATCAGCCCCGGGGAGTTCTTGAGAGATTTCTGAGCACAACACCTTTTTTAATTTTTTGAGATAGAGTCTCACTCTGTCACCCAGGCTGGAGTGCAGTGGCATGATCTCAACTCACTGCAACCTCCATCTCTTGGGTTCAAGCCTCAGCCTCCCAAGTAGCTGGGATTACAGGCACGCACCACTATGCCCAGCTAATTTTTGCATTTTTAGTAGAGACAGGGTTTCACCACATTGGCCAGGCTGGTCTCAAACTCCTGACCTCAGGCGATCCACCCTCCACAGCCTCCCAAAGTGATGGGATTACAGGCGTGAGCCACCACGCCTGGCTGAGCACAACACTTCTAAGGAGCTCACCCTACAGAAGAGGAAGCTCATCTGACGCCCGAGGAGGGCCCAGGGCTCGCCCAAGGTCGCACAGCAGTCGTGATGAGCAGGGGCTCCAAGCCAGGCCTCCCAGGGCCCGGCTCCATACTTCCCTGCCTGTAATGCAGTCTTTCTGCAGTAGTTTTCCGTCTCCTAAATAACAACCTCAACAATTACAATACAGCTGCCATGTGTTTAAACACAAACTGTGTCAGGTGCAGTTTTAAGTATGTTGTCTGTTTTCCAAACTGGCACTGACAACCTTTCCAGGGAAGCTTTAATATTCCCATTTACATGAGGCACAGATGAGAGGTCAAGTCACATGCTCGGGGTCACACAGCTAGAATGTGGCAGAGCTGGAGAGGTGCCCCAGTGTGTCTGACTCCAAGGCTAGGGCCCCTAGCTCCCATGCTATTCTGTCCCCAAAATGGAACTAGACTGTTAGCTCCGCATTGGGCAGGGGCTAAACCACCGAAGAGAAAGACACATCACCCCTTCCATGGACCAGGCATTCTTTTAAGTTCTTTACATTATCGCATGGCATCTTCACATCCACCCTATGAGGCAGGTGCTGTCTGTATCCTCGCAGAAGAGCAAACAGGCATGGGGACATTAAGCCGCTTTCCCAAGGTCACACAGCTGGTGGCTAACAGAGCTGGGCTTCAAACCCAGGCAGGCTGGCTGTTTTTTTTTTTTTTTTTTTTGAGAAGGAGTCTTGCTCTGTTGACCAGGCTGAAGTGCAGTGGCATGATCTCGGCTCACTGCAACCTCCGCCTCCTAGGTTCAAGGGATTCTCCTGCCTCAGCCTACCGAGTAGCTGGGACTACAGGCACATGCCACCATGCCTGGCTAATTTTTTTGTATTTTTAGTAGAGATGGGATTTCACCACATTAGCAAGAATGGTCTCCATCTCCTGACCTCATGATCTGCCCACCTCAGCCTCCCAAAGTGCTGGGACTACAGGCGTGAGCCACCGTGCCCAGCTGCATTCTGGCTCTTAACCATGACACTACACTGCCTTGTATAAAAATTATTGTATTATTGCCATGACATAAACAGTGACTAATTTGAAATCACACCTCCCCTGCATGTGAGGCATGACATTTTCCAAAATGCGTTTTCCATAAGAGCGGCAGAACTGCTCTCAGCATCCCTATTCACAGAGGAGGTGTGAGATCAGAGAGGTTTTGTGACTTTCCTGGCAGAGTAAGACCTTGAACTCAGGGATACACATGGCACTTGTCTAGCTAGCTCAGCCACCCTTGACAGCACTCTGAGCTCCTCATTCAGCAACATCTGCCTTCCTTTCAGAGCTGACAATTCTGCCCCAACCTTCACCCCTCCGTGTCATTCTGAAACCAGGACTAGGAAATTTGAGGCAGCTCAGCCTTTCAGGGTCAGAGATGCTGGGTCCACACAGCACGCATGTTGCTTGTGTCCCCACCCTCTGTTTTCACAGCCCCCTTCTCAGGCAGATCCCTGTTGGCTAGCTGCAGGGTATGCAGCCAGATGGGTATTTGGAGGGCTGGAAAGCATCCAGTGCTGGGCCGGGGAGAGGCTCAGGACTGGGCACCCTTGCTAAGTCTTCCCTCTCTCCCTGTGCCTCCCTTTTCTCCACCACTGCAATGGATCCTATCCTTCTTGCTTCCCCGGCCTGGGGTCACATCACCCTGTTTCCCCGGAACCCCATGTCCTGTGCTCTCGCTGACACCTCTTCTCCTTTCCCTCCTGCTGCTGCTCCCCACTACTTGCCCTTCCCAACCCGTCCCGAATGCTCCCTCTGTGTTGCCTCTGCTGATCCCCTCATGGCCCTCCACACCCCCTGGCCGCCTCCTCCTGTCCCATGGATGCCAGCGTCTTGCTCCCACCCCCTGCCAACTCCTTCCCTTGGCTCCTCTCTTTCCGGCTCCTCTTCTCCATACTCCCTGCCCTTTGCTCCCTCTCCCCTTTCCTCTCGCCCTGCAGGGGTCCCCTGGAGATGCTGGGCTGTCCATCATTGGTCCCCGCGGTCCCCCTGTAAGTTGTTTTTGCTCTTCTTCGGGGTGTGGGGGGGATGGGTGAGTTGATGAAAAGGACTTTTAGGCTGAGGATGAGGGGACAGCGAGGGCGGCTGTGCCCCTGGGTGGGGAGGCCACCGCATGTGATGTGGTCAGCCCAACCAGGCCTCCGTGCCAATGTTGATGTTAAGGAAAGTGGCCTGACTAAATATACCTAAATTACAGCCCCTGGGAAGTTCTGAGGGACCTGCCCTCTAGCCACGAAACTACAGCAGCTGCGAGGCGGCCCTGCTGTTTACAGACAGAAGGGAGAAAAGGCTCACTCTCCTCCGGATGGGGTGATCCGGCTTTCCGGGGAACAAGCCTTTGTTTCTGGAAGCCCACGGATCAGATATGAGTTGGGGTTCACTGACCAGGCACGCACTCCTGGTCTTGCCAGAGGCCCCGCCCGCACTCACCCTCTCGGACGTGCAGTGCTGGGTCCTGTGTGTTCATAGCACCCTCCACCCCTTGGCTGGGAGCCTGAGGAAACCCGTGAGGCTCCCCTGAGATGTGCTTCCTCAGGGACTAAAACAGAGGTGCGGGTGATGAAGCCAGCAAGATATCAAGGCTGTGGGAGGAAGGGCTTGTTGCTTTCCCAGAGCGCTGAGCCACAGGGCTGTAATAACATCACCACATGGCAGGGTGAAAGGATCCGGGAAATGGTCTAACGAAGCCCTCTCAGAAAGGGAAACTGAGGCTCAGAGAGGGGAAGGGGTCTCCCATGTAGAGGCTGGGTGGGATTAGAACCGAGGAGCCCTGGCCTCACCACAGCAGCACAACAGGCTGCTGACTCCACCTTCTGGACTTTTCCAGACCCATCGTGCTCAGTGAGGGGTGGGAGCGGAGGGCTAGCCTCTGGGAGACTGAGACCCACGTGGTGGGAGAGAGAGCGGAGAACAAAAGGCTAAGTTATATCCAAGAGAAGGGGCCCACAGTGAGCTGAACGCCAAGCAAAGGGTTGTGACCAGTGCAGGGAGCTGAGAGTTGGAGCCAGTTTGGGAGGGAGAGCAGGGACAGGAGAGCCAGGCTGGCAGACCAGTCAGGGGCTGGGTCGGAGGCATCACTTGGATGGTCCAGGGCTGAGTAGACATGGCCTTCACAGCAAGGTTTTCTTCTGGGCTCAAACCATAATGACCATGCTTCACACTTCCTCTGTGGCGGCCTTCAGACTTCCACACATATTCACTCACTTAATCCTTATAAGAACTCCATGATGTCGGGACTGTGATTGCCCTCATTTCACAGATGAGAAAACTGAGGCACAGAGAGGCTGAGTGACTTGCCCAAAGCCACAGGGCTGGCGTGTGGCCACACTGCTAGCTCAGCATTCAGTCAGGCTATGTGGCTCCAGTCTGCTTCTGACCCCTGCTGCCACCATGGACTGGCCAGGCCTGATGTCACTGTGGCATGTGCTCCTGGGCTAACACAGTGGCTGCCCTGATGGGCTTTGGGCCTCCTGTGTACTGGAGGAGGCGCAGCGCCAATGCCCTGGCCAAGCTGGTCCTGATGAAGGTGGTGATGGGAAGGTCATAGAAACAGAAGACAGTCAGTCCTCCCGGTTGGAACATAGAGGACCGAGCCTGGTGTGTTAGGAGGACAGGGAGTAACACAGCACACAGGCCCTACCCTGGGCCGCCATCTCTGTCTGCCTTCAGATGTTCTGTTGTGTGGATCCCACTGGTCCTCTAACACACTTTCGGCAAATTATGTCAACAGGCTACAGAAAAGTTACTGAAAAGCTCCACTGCTGGAGACGTGTTCAGGGCAGTAATTGGCCTCTGCTCCTCCTGGCCTCAGCCCAGCACATATACCTAATCAGAAACATACCTGCTGCACTGGATTTGACTCGAATGGTGTAAAGCACCTTCCGTTCAGGTAGCAGTGAGAGTGTCTGTCTCCCAGGCACCTATCACACGGTAGGTCTCCTTCACAGCTGTAAGGCAGGACCCACCAGCCCATTCTACAGAGGAGAAAACAGTTTCCTAACCTGTGGTTCCCCAACTAGTAAGTTCCTGAGCTCATGTTTGGCCAGGTCAGCCTCATCTCAAAGCCTGCATTCTTGCCTCAACACCCTGTTCTGCGTTTGAAACGCTACCGTTTAAAAGGATATTTACTTGAGGAGAAAGAAAATCCTCCAGGCGGGTGACTACATTGGCACCAGGAAAGGTGTTACCGTACCGAGGATCATAACCAGGCCCAGCATCCTCTGACTTTGGCCCCCATCACCCAGTGGCTGGAGCCATCCCTGCTTATTCCCCACTGGACAGCAGGTGCAACCTCCTCAGCTCCTTCCAGGAAGCCGCCCTGAGCTAACAGGAGCATGGATGGGGGAAGACAAAGAGTCCATTTAGTCATTAATGGGTAGAGGTCAAGTGGGCGTCCTTGGTGGCAGCCAGGGATGATGAAGAATGTGTGGCTTTCCACTCAGCCAGGAAAGGTCCAGGATAGATGCTGCTAATAAGAGCCAGCCTTGCCACTCTCAGGGGCCACCTGCCTCCCCTCTTGGAACTTGATAAATGGTCCAAGCAAAGGGGGGACCCCTCCAAGCACTTTGGAGGAGGCTACACTTTCTAATGAAGCAAGCTGGAGTACAGTGTTGGGGCATGTTGACTTTAAGGGAGGCTCATTAAACCGATGGCGAGGCTGGATCCCCGAGATGCTGGCAGGCCCAGCAGGCCTTGGGCAGGGGATCTGCCAGTCCTAGGAAATGCCCCATCTCAAAGGGGGCCCATGCCCTCTCTGAGCTCCCCAGTTTCTCTTCTGGGGCCAGGAGATATCTGAACTTCCAGTCTTCATCCACTAGGAGCCACCCCACACCAGGTAGACACACCTACCGAGTGTGTAATTCACTCCATTCATGTTTGTTAAGAGCCCAGTGCCTGCTAGGTGCTGCATAGACAGTGGAAACCTGACCTCAGTCAGCTTGCCCTCTGGGTACACGATCTAGTGGGAGAGATCAGCAAGCACATAATCCATGACAGTGCAGACAGCAAGTACTAAGCCAGGGGCTGGTTAGAGAGCTGTGGCACAAGGAGGAGGCACCAGACTTGGGGGAGGAGGGCAGGCAGGGAAAGCTTCCTGGAGGAGGGGATAATAACTGTAGTCAAGGACCAGTGAGAAGCCCTTACATTATGGTCAGGGGTTGGGCTTCGTCCTGAGGGTGTGAAGAGCCTGTAGGTTGTGTTAGGCTGATATAGTACATAGGCAGATTTGCAATTTAAAAGGATTTAGAAGGCCCAGGATGCAGCATATTTAGAAGAGGCTGCAGTGGGAGGCTGGCTGGAAAGCACTTGCAACAGCCAAGTCCTGGATTGGAGTAGAATCAGTGGGCTGGCCAGGAGGGCTGGACTTGCAAGCTGTTTTGGAGATGGAATTGGAGGATTTAGTGATGATAAAAAACGAGGATTGAGGGAGAAGCAGGAGCTCAAAATGATGCCACATTTCTGACTTGAGTAACAGAGTCCCCTTCCCCAGAAGGAATTAAACTCGTCTCCCCTGGTAAAGACGAAGAGTTTCCTTTACCAGGGGAGACGAGTTTAATTTGAGCGTGATGACTTAGAGATGCCATAATGTCCAACAGGAACGGTCATCTGCTGGAGGTCAGAGCATGTGGTCTGCCAGAGCTGGCTTCCTTATCGTACCAGGAATCTTAACCAGGCCCAGCAGCCTCTGACTTTGACCCCCATTACCCAGTGGCTTGAGCCATCCCTGGCAAGAGTGGACCATGCACACCTCACCTCCTCCCAACTGTGTTCAGTGACCTCACGTTGGTAGCTTGAAATCAGCTATGGTGGGTGTATTTACACCACAGACACTGGCAAATGCTGTGCAATGCAGGGCTCTCCTCTCCACCCTCCCCCACCCAGCTAATGGTTAAACATGTACCAGCATGGAGTCTTGTTGGTACTGACTTGGAGTGAGGGAGATAAAAAAATGAGGCAGCCCCTGGGCAGAGACACAACTGACCATCTTTCGGGTCAAATAAGAGAAGGGGGTCTTCCTGGTGGGTTTTTCCCAACAAGAACCTTCTGTCTGTGTATTTGCCAGTAGGAGAAAGGCAGGAAGGAGTAGGGATCCACTTTCAGAAGTGGAGACCCCCTTTGGCTCCCTTTTTGCTCTGACCTTGAATTAAGGGAGACAATTTCAGAGGTCAATGTAAAGCTTATTTCCCTTGTTCTGGTACAGAAGGGTGTAATAGTAAACCATGAATTAATGTACAAATACATCTGTTTTTTTGTGCATTTAATGTGATCCTAATCTCTGTCCGTTTTTCATGAGATTGGGAATCCAACAAAATTCTACTAGATACCAAAATGTATTATAAAAACAAGACCATTTACATGAACATATGGACAGAATGGGCAGGGCAGAAACGAAGCCAAATGCATGTGTCCATTTGGTATGTGACAAAGGCCTCATTTCACAATAGGAAGAGCAAGATCAATTGTTCAAGAAATGATGCTGGGGCAACCAATACGCCACTTAGAAAAAGGTAAAATGAAAGAGAGTTGTCGGTTTTTTTTATTATTAACGCCAATTTATTCATTATATCAGAATAATTTCCAGATGAACAAAATATTTAGATATAAAACCTGAAACCATAAAATACAAAGACAAAGCATGAGTGAACATTTTATAATTCTGAATGGGGGAAGGCCCTTTTCAACATGGCATAAAACCCAAATGCCATAGGAGAAGTTTATTAAGTTTGTCTATATAAATATAAAACATACCAGAAACAAAAAGACAAACGCCAAATTAGAAGAATAGTCACCACATATATGATTATCGGAGACTTATTTTTGACAAAGAGCTTCACTCAAATCAGTAGGAAGAAAAGCAAATAACCTAGCAGAAAACACTGGTAAACAGAAACAGGCAGAGAAACACTGGAAGTGATGTCTAACCTCAGGATATAATTGAAGAGATATAAATTAAAGTCTACTTCCAAGTCTCCCTAAATGCCTTTCCCAGGCCCAGCCTTTCCAGAAAGTGGCGTCCCAGTTTCCACTTGGTTCATGACAACAGTTCCCAAGATCTCTGAAAAAGCCTTGGTTAGCCCTGGATTTGGTCCTGGATTGGAGAGATTCATCCTGCTACCAGGGCGGGCTCTGTAATTAGCAAACTGTGTGATTATCCCTACCACGTAAACATTGTCCCTAGCGGGACTGAAGATGTTTCTTGGACTCCTCTACTCCTGACCTTTCCTTCAGGCTGCTTGGTGTGCAGAGTAGTTTACAGAAAGTTTACACTGAGAGGTTTCAGAGATGACATTGCATGGTTTCCGGGTTTTCTCCTTGGTCTATTCTTAGCATCACTTATCCTTGAGAGGAGAAAAGCCAGAGCCCCTTCCGATAGATGAATGGGATCTCCTCCCTTGTGCCCTTTTGGATGGCTGCCACAAACCCATCCTAAGCCTGTGGAAAACTTTAACTCGCTCCCTGTTGAACCAGGGCATCCACCTGGCGGGGTGCCCATCCCACCCAGCTGACGTGTTCCCTGAGCACAGGCCACTGGGCACTTGTGTTCGTGGCTTCAAGAAGGACCCTAGCAGCCTGGAGATGTTTTTGGGTCATAGCAGATGAATCCAGAGAAATCTTCTGGAGAGGATCTGATTCTAAAACTTGCTGCTTGACAAGGACAAACTTTCATTGATCCCAGGACATATTGAGCCCAACAGCAACCTTCCTCTATTCTGGAGCTTTCCTGTTTAGTTCAATTCAACAAGTGTCTGATGATGGCAGCTACCATTTCAATAGCCTTTACAAACATAATTAAATTTGATCTGATGATCCTATGGGGTTACACTGTTATCTCCAGTTATCTCTATATTATAGATGAGGAAACTGAGGCTCTGGGAGGTTAGACAACCTGCTCAGGGTCACACAGCCATAGTTGGAGGCAGGATTAGAATTTAGTCTGCCAGTCTAGAAAGCCCATGCTTGGGAAGAGATTGTAATTGTGTCAGCCAAAGGAGACCCCAAGCTGAGAACTGGGCATGTTTGTTTGGTGAACGGCAGGTGAGCCAGTGTGTCTGAGCAGAGAATAGATGGAAATATGTGGCAGGAAAGGAACTTAACATGGTTGATCGGGATGGAATTGAAGTATGGCCTTGAACATGGTAGAAGGGAGCCCTTGCTGGTCCTTGAGAAAAGGGGTGACAAGACTCACATTTCTTAGCTCTCCATCACCCTTGACCACCTGGTCATCCCTCCTCAGCCCTGCATCATCACAGCCTTGTGCTTCTTCTAATCTCAGCACATCCCCTTTGTCCTGAATCTTGATCGTAAACCACTGGACTGTGACCAGTGAACCTGCTTCTAGTCTCCACCCTAAATATTTATTTGTGTTGCACTCTGCACCTCCGGGAAAATGAGCATGGATTGCTCTGCATCCCACAAAGATTAGGGATGCTCAGACATTGCCCAACTGCTAGGAGAAGCCTGCTGGCCAGGGTGAGAGGAACAGGAGCAATCTGACCTTTTCTAGCTAGAAACACACATTTTGAAGGTCAAGTTCTGATAGCCAAACCATCCTTAGGTAAGTGGCCATGAGCCATGACCATGTAAATAAAAAAAGGGCTTAGATGATCGCAGTCCAGGAGTTCAGTGTGCTTCAGGCTGAGTGTCTGCTGACCTTGCTGTCCCATGCATCTGTTTACAAGCCACACATCCACAGTGGTGAGGAGCTCTCCAGGGCCACTTCCCGGAAGTAGACCCAAAGGACATTGGCCCCTTCCTGTTCCTTCCCCACCCCCAGCCCCCGCAGGAGATTTCCTATGATGTTCCATTTCCTCATTCTCCATCTTCCCTCCCAATCTGCTAACCACAGTGAGTGTCCCCCAAGGATGATCACACAGAGTGAGAGGGATGGGAGCACAGATGAACTGGAGGGCTAGGGATTGGCTGCGTCTCCTGCTTGCTCAACCTTACTTGTCTCCTGTTTGTTTTTTGTTTTTGTTTTTTTTTTTTCCAGGGTCAACCAGGCACTCGAGGTTTTCCTGGATTTCCGGTAAGTGGAGAAGGCTGAAGTTAGCTGTGTCCCAGGTGGTCTGCAGGCCTGATTAGGTTAAACTTCATCTGAGGTCAGCCCTGGTTCCTCTCTTTCCCTCCCAAACCCTGGTCATTAAGGACCTGCTTCTGCAGCCATTCATGGACACCAACTCAGGACAGTAGCTCAGCAGTCAGGTCATGGTACAAGGAATAAATGCAGGGAAGCAAATACACAAATAAGGGGCAGTAGGACCAGCTCCAGGTGAGTGAAGTCACAGGCTGATAAGCCCCAGCATGACCTGGGAATATGGAATGGACGATGCCCTGCAGGAGATCACCCTGCAGCTCAGCCTATGCCTGGGCTTTGAAAGGAGATCCAACAGTGGGGTGGCCATCTGGGTGTCCTTGACCTCTGCCTATGGGGCCTAAGACAGGTTCTGACAGGCAGAGCAGACGGAGAAGTTCCCCTTTTTTCCCAGCCTCAGTGCAGGCCAGACCCTGATTTCTAGGGACACATCACCACCTCTGCACTCAGGGCAAGGGTGATGTCTTTGACATTAATGGGGAGGCCACCCATTGGGTTCTCTCTTGAGCTGTGCCCCTGGCATCCAGCATTTCATTCCCTCCTCACAAGGACCCTTTGTAGAACGTTCTGTTTCTCTCAGCCCCATTTCAGGATGGGAAATTGAGGCCTAGGCTTACCCATGGTCACATAACACGTATGCGGTCAAGCAGGGCCTTGAGCTCCAACTTGTCAGAATCCAGAATCCGTGCTTTTCCCCACTGCCCAGGTAGCCTCTTTGGGAGGAGGCATGTGATGCTCAGTCTTTACATCTGGCCTTTCTGGTTTCAGGGTCCCATTGGGCTGGACGGTAAACCGGTAAGTGAACTTGCTCCTCCTCCTCACTGCAGGTCAGTGATCTTGGATCTCTTGGTCCTTCTGCAAGATCCTGGCTCCTTGGAAGATGCTTTACTTAGAAAGAAAAGTCCTGGGGCTGAAGGTTGTCACTAGTGGGAGGAGGAGGGGGCCCTCTAAGCTACTCCTGACCCCAGTGGCCTTCCCAAGGGCACAGGTCCCCAGCTGCTCAGCTTGGCTTTCAGAGTCCAAGAGAGAGCCATCCCTGGTATGGGTGATTCTGGATGGGGTGGGAGTGAGGCCAGGAGGCAGTGGGGAGAGTGAAGGCTGCAGAGGTGTAATCGCTGGTCTAAGAAGCCTGTCTACTTGTGTACATGCTGGCCCCTGCTCCAGAGCACCTGTGTCTTCCATGGCCCTGTCCTCAAGATCCGGGTCTTCCCTCCCTGACTGAGACCCCACACGTGTTCAAGTCCATGTGAAGACTGCTTCCCGCCATAGCTCCTCTCTTCATTCATTTCAATCCTTTGGACTTGGTCCCCTGACACAAATGTTCATGGGGGGAAGCAGTCCCCTCCCCAGTCCTAGGAGCAAGTCAGCTGGAAGGGAGCATGATTCATCCAAAGCCCTCAGGGTGGATGGAATGCAGCCCCATGAACATCCACGCCTGGCCCCACCACTCGCCTCTCTCAATTGAGGGACTCTAGTACTGCCCAGTCACTCCCTAACTAAAGACCAGCAAGCTAAGTGCAGCCAAGGGGCACCGGCAATCATTTCTACTCATGTCACAGGGCCAGGGATCCCCCAAAACTACCCTGGATATGTGGATGGGGTGAGGGTCGGGGTCCAAGGAGACTACCCCCACCTCTGCTCTCTGAAGGGCAGGCAGCTGCTAGTGAGGCCCAGTGAGGAGCAGTGAGCAAATAACCTTGCCTTAGGGACTGGGTGAAGGAGTACACAAGCCAAAAGGCACAAATGGAGCCCAGGGGGCAGGGAGGAGCATGGGGGACAGTGGGTTGAACATCTGGGCCACAAACAGCACACCTGGTACTCACCCTCTTCTCCTTCTAGGGCCACCCGGGACCAAAGGGGGAGATGGTAAGAGCCCAGATTCCCTGCCTTCTCGAGATGGGTGGGGGTTGGCCTGGCCTCACAGGCAGAGCCAAGCACTGCAAAGCAGGTCCTGCAGGAACAGCAGGAGTGGCTGCCCGTGCTGGTCACTCCCCAGCTGTGTAAGCCACATGCCCTGGATCCTCACACCAATGTTGAGGAAGGAGAGATGGGCAGGGGCTTCTCCATCTGAAGCATGAGGATGGGAGATCTAGAGAGAGTGCACATCCTGGCCGGTAGCAACTGTTGCTTCTCCACCTTTTTGGGGCCCGAAGCACTCCAGTTCCCTGGGCAGATCAATCTGGGCGGTGGCCGCAGGGTGCTGTGATGTGGTGGGGAAACGCTTGCTCCTGTTTCCGACTTGCCAACTGGCCCAAACTCCAAACAGAAACTCCCAGGAAGGCATGGGGAGAGGAGGCAGTGGGAGGAAGAGCTGGTGTTGGAATCCAGGTCCCCTAGCAAGGTTTCCTCTCCATCACAGCTGCCTCCACTGCAAATGCATTTTCCTCCCGCCCCGACCCTATTCCTAGGCATGCTATGCACATGGGTGGTGTAGTGAGGATGGAGGCAGGAATAAACTGCCATGCCACATTGTTACAGAGCCATAAAGGGTTTGGGGCACTTATCCCTTCATCCCCCATCCGCTGCCCTCTTTCCCTCTCTGGCAGCTTTACGATACCCTAAGGTAGCCCATGGTCCCTCATAAGTAATAATAATGGTCATCCTATAGGCACCATTCTGTCATCCTCATAACAGCTTATCATCCCCACTTCATGAGAGGGGAAATTGAGGCACAGAATGTCAAAGTACATTGCCTGAGATCACAAAGCTCCTAAATACCAGAGCTGAGATTCAGATCCATGCAGTGGGGTCTTACCCTTCAATCACACCTCTTCTCAGCTGCCGGCACTTTGTCCCCTTCCTCCAGGGTCCTCTTCCTCCAGGGTCCTTCCACGGGGCCCCTCATCCTGCCCTCACCCTGCCCACACCATTCCTCTGCCCCATGCTCTTGACCACCCGTCTGTTCGGGGATGAGAGCTAACTCAACAGAAAAGGTAAGCCCACCCTCTCTCCCATGAGCCCACATCAGTGGGATAGGTCCCCTGCTTGCCCCATCAAATCTGGCAGGCCACAGAGCCATGCGACTCCTGTTTGGCTTGGCATGGGGACCCAAGCTGTTAGTTGCCCACCACTGTCCAGCTTCGTTACCTTGGCCTGCTCTTCATCTGTTCATCTTCCGCCCCAGATGCTGTCCCCTCCGCTGGTGTCCTACTGGGGCACTGGCACTCGCCCTCATGCATTTAACCTGTGTCCTCACTTGTTGAAAGGGAGTCCCCTGTGCCTTACCCACTTCACATTATTCCCAAGAACCTGAAATAAGGTGTTGAGGTGTTGGGAAGACACAGTTGTACAATAGTGCAGCTGTGGGGTGGACAGGACTGGGGTTCTGAGACGCAGGAATGACATAAGGGCTGTAAAGCAGGGCCTGGACTGAGTCCAGACTCACCCACAGGGCTGTCAGAAGAGCAAGCAGTGCTTGGAACACGCCTGGCACACAGAGAAGCAGTGGCGGTTAGCGGAGGGCTGGTGGCAAGTGCTGAGCACGTCAGCCGTGACCATGGCCCTTAAAGGGGCAGGTGCTGCCCAGCTGGAGATAACTGGCGCCATGTGTTGTTGGGCCTCGACATAATTAAGAGAAACTTGAAATCCAGATTTTTATTTGCACTCTGCTTGCTCTTAAGTGTTGGCAACTAGTTGAAATAAAACCATGTGGGACAAACGAAATCCCTATGGAGACCACAACTGTCCCCTGGGCCACTGTTTGGGATGTCTGGTCTCAACTGTCAAGTCTCTGCAGTCCTAAAACTCCGCCTGCCCCTCCCCCATCACACCTATCTGTCTGTCCTGACAGGATGACCTGGTCACCTGTGGTCTCGGCCTGGGTTCCCTGCTAGATGAATCACGTGCTGCAAAACTTCACTCTAAACACTGCCAGGCTGAGAGCGGTGGCTCACACCTGTAATCCCAGCACTTTGGGAGGCCAGCGCAGGCAGATTGTTTGAGTCTGGGAGTCTGAGAGCAGCCTGAGCACCATGGCAAAACCCTGTCTCTACTAAAAAAAAAAAAAAAAAAAAAAAATAGAAAAATTAGCCAGCATGGTGGTGTGTGCCTGTAGTCCCAGCCAGTTGTGAGGCAGAGGTGGGAAAATCACGTGAACCCAGGAGGCAGAGGCTGCAGTGAGCTGAGGTTGCACCACTGCACTCCAGTCTGGGCAACAGAGTGAGACCCTGTCTCAATAAAACACTAAAAAAATAAATAAACGCTCGGCCAGCCACATGGGCTGGGAGTGCCATATGGATGATCCCAAAGGCCACTTCTCCCTTCCAATGATGCTCTTGGGAGTTTCCCAGTTTGGAGGTGGCCCAGTTGGCAAGTCGGGAGAAGGAGCAAGGCTCTCGATCATCACAGCATGCTGCAGCCATCTCCCTGATGGACCCGCCCATGGGGATCTGCAGTGCTACAGGCCCCAGAGAGACTGGTCCAGCAGGTGGTCCTCACAGGCCCCAAGATGGTGGCTCAAAGGGACGGGCTAATGGCTCTAGCCAAGTCTAGAAGCTCTGACTCCCAAGGTTTGGCCCAGTTCCGAGCATTTGGTGGAGTGGAAACAGCTGGACCTTGGCAATCAGACAAACCTGGGCTCCTGTCCCAGTGCTACCATTCGCTAAGCCACAGGGCCTTGTCTCTGTCACCTCGCTCAGGAGCTGGAGCGGACACGAGCATCTCCCTCACAGGCACATACCTGAAGAGCCAGCCTCAGAGTGGATCCTCAACTCATAAGGCATTTGTTTTCTCCTCTTCCCCCTATACCAGCCTGAGTGCACCCTACTAAGATAGCCAGGATGTGCTGGGCCCTCCTCAGACAGCAAGGGTCCCTCCCAACCCCGGCTCCTTTCCTGGCCCTGTGATGACAAGACAGCCTTGAAGCAAATCTCAAGACCAACCCCCACTTTTTTTTGAGATGGAGTCTCACTCTTGTTGCCCAGGCTGGAGTGCAGTGGTGCGATCTCAGCTCATGCAACCTTCACATCCTGGGTTCAAGAGATTCTCCTGCCTCAGCCTCCCAAGTCACTGGGATTACAGGCATGTGCCACCACGCCCAGCTAATTTTTGTATTTTTAGTAGAGGGGGGGTTTCTCCATGTTGGTCAGGCTGGTCTCAGACTCCCAAGATCTTCCTGCCTTGGCCTCCCAAAGGGCTGAGATTACAGGCGTGAGCCACCATGCCCAGCTAAGGCCCCTTATATTCCTTCAAGAAGTCCAGAACATGGCTTCAGTTGCCAATTTCATGCTTCCTTTTTTTTTTTTTGCCAAAGGTTTCTCCAAGGCTCCCAGTGTCTGAGACACTGGCCCAGCCCTCCAGGCCAAAACCCCTCTGGTTCAGTGGGCTTCACTGCAGCCTGGGAGGCAGAAGATGGAATGCACTAGTATCTCCCAGAGGCTTGGTGTGCAAGAGGCAGGGTGTCCCATTGAGCAGAAAACTCCCTGACATCTAGGTGCAGCCCCTCCATAGCTGGCCCATGAGATGCTGGTGGTTGGAGAAATGGATGAAAGATGCCATCTGTCCTTCATCACAGCCCCTAGTCCTGCCCACTAGGGGGTGAAGAAGCTGAGGCTCTTCAGATGAGGCCACACCACCTTGAACATGGTGGGCATGGGAAGACCTGGCCATGGCTGGCAGAGCTCAGCCCTCGGGATTCCAGGAGTTCTAAAAAGCCCCAGTCTCTACCCAGGCAGGTGTCCCCAATTGGTCATCTTCTGTCTGCCCACTGACCTGTGTGTGTTTGCTTCCCACAGGGTCTGACAGGTCCCCCAGGACAGCCGGTTGGTACCTCGTCCTTCTATTTCCTAGCAGAGAAGCTTCGGGTGGCTGTGACCTTAGCTTCGGTTTCTAACTCTCTCATCTCCGTCTCTTTGTAGGGACCTCAGGGACAAAAAGGAGAAAAGGTAAGAGCAATGGAGGTTTCCTAGAGGCACCATCTCAGGAAATGGCCTCCCAACCAGCAGAAAGGGGTCAATAGCGGTTATTTTCAAGCTTTAGTTTTAATTGACAGACCCTGAGGGGCGGCATAACAGATTCAGTTGACGATGCTCCTGGTGACATCTTTTTCTTGGAGTGAGGGTTCCTCTTGGAGCCTGGCCCGGGTGACATCTTTTTCCAGGGGTCCTCTTGGAGCCTGGCCCTCTTCAGCCTCTTTCTGGCCCCTCCCAGCTATCACCCCATGGTGTTCCCTGACACCTCCATGAGCCTCTGGGATTCTGAGGCATCAATCTGTAAACCACTGGCCTGGCATCCAGCCCTCTCTGTGTTGTTGAATTTCTGATAGAGACTCTGCTGTGCTTGCCCCTAGGTGGCTGGTACAGGGGCCTGGCGCTCCCAGCTCAGAGAAGGTGGCTTGGGGATCCCCATGGTGCCAGATGCTCCCATCTAGGGGCTCCTGTTCAGGGATGTTGGGTGGACTTGCCTAGAGGGTCAACCTTTAAGTAGGCATGGAGCATAACTCCCGACTCTGCCATATGGCAAGTGGTATAAAGTGAAGCCTCGCCCCTTGGCTCCATGGGGCCACTTCCAGGCAGTCCCTGGAAGTTTCTTCCCTGCTTCTCACCAGGGGCAAGGGAGGGACTTAGTTCTCCTGCCTCAGAGGGCTCAGACCAAAACTAGAGCAGAAGGGCCGGTAAGTGATGAGATGTGAGGCATGTCCTGAAGCCCTGGGGGTGCCTCAGAGACAGGTGCCCCAGCAAGTGCCTAACACCCCCTTCCCCTTCCCTCTCCTTCCCAGGGTCAGTGTGGAGAGTACCCACACCGGGTAAGTGAACCCCTAAAACTGAGCAGAGTCCTTTAATCCATCCCTGGGTCATAGCCCCCAGCCCAGGCTCATCTCCCTGGGGTCTCCAGTTCCTAACAGAGTGTGGGGGAACAGGAGTACCCAGCACCCTCTGCTCTCAACCCATCAGAGAGTGGGGATTGGGGTGGCAGTGTGTCTGGCGGGAGCAGCTGATGTGTTTCTCCGGCCATGTGCCATGTGGAGCTGCTCATCACCTGTGCGTGTCTGTACATCTGCCCCTTTGTATGTACGTCCGACTCGGTATGTTGGAGGCTCTTGCTGTGTGTCTGGAGCTCTGTGGCTCCTCTGCACTTTGCCCTCTGAGGCAGCACCGATTGTGTGAGTCTGTTTGACTCCCCACCCATCCAGCATGTGTGACAGGGGGAAGGGGAGTGTCTGGTAGCCTAGCCGTGGCCAAAAAAGTGGGACTTTGAGATTAGTCATTGTATCAGATGATGGTATTTCAGATCCAAACCTCAATAATGGGAGATAATCAGGGATGGACTGTAGCAATTCAAGGATAAAGTCTCTCCTTGGCCTCTTTAAGATCAGAGGAAACCCTTCTCTAAGCAGGGTGGGGATTTCAGGCTGAGGTGGTTGCTCTGCCCACCCCCACCTGCTCCTTCCTTTTCCTTGCTCCACCCCAAGATGCAGAACCCAAAAGACTGCTGCTGTCCTGTTAGGAATCTTCACACTTGTGTTCCAGCAGCAGGGTCCAACTTGGGACAGGGGAGAGCAAGATATGCACAGCTTCCTCCAGCAGGAGCCCCAGTGAGCTGGACCCAGAAAAAATGCCCCTCATTTTGTGGATTGGCCTCGTTGCTCCCAGACCTGGAAGCCGGGATGGAGGATGGGCATCTTTAGGTGTCCCTCCCCTCTGTCACGTGCCTTATGGTGCTCAGCCAGTCCAGGTAGTGGGATTTTGGGAGTGGAGACAGACATAAGCAAGGCTCAGTGTCAACTTGACTCCAAAAGGCTGTCAGGAGGGCCATGCTAACAGGCCCAGCCTCTGCGCAGACCCTCAGGAGGCTGGAAGGCAGGCCTGAGCTCTGGATTCCTGGGCAAAGGAACCACTGTGAGCCTGGTACGTGAGAGGCTGGGATGGGTTTAAGGCTGCGGCAGTGCTGGGCCTGGGCTGAGGGAGGCAGGCAGGCCGGCAGCAGCGCAGAGCCAGCCTGTCAGCGGCATGTGCTCCAGGGATGCAGGGGCCCTAGTGTTCCGGGAAGCCTGATCCTGATACAATAATAGAAGGTCAGCTGTGTGTATTTGAAACGATGGGCTCACAGGATTGTTATGTTACCCGAAAGAAGACAGCATCCCCTGCACAAAACAATACAATAGCAGAGGCTTCGGTGGTGTCACCTGTCCTTAGTGAGCACCTGGGGTGGGGTGGGTGCAGGGCGCTCTTACCCTCAGCCCAACGCAAGGGAAGGGAAGGGCGTAGTCACAGAAGGTTGGAGAAGACCCCTGGCCACAGGGTGCAGTGAAACATGGCCTCCTGACAGTGGCACTCTGGGGAGCATGTCAGATGTGGGGCGAGGGAGTAGATTTGGGGTCCCAGCTGAGGGGCAGAGCAAGTTTATTTAAAGAGGGTAGGAAATCAGGGGGTTTCTAGAGATCTGTTGGCTTTGCAAGGGGTCTGCAGGCAGGGTTGGAGTGGCAGGTCTCGAGGCCCAGAAGACACCAAGAGATTCAGGTGACTCTTCCTCCATTCCAGCCTGTGGCTGGAAGGAGAAGAGAGGGGTGGGGAGCAGGGGAGCTGGTGTCTGTGGGCTCTCCCTCATGTTCCCTGTTGCCCTGTCTCTGCCAACTCCATCCCCTCCCAAACTAGGAGTGCCTAAGCAGCATGCCAGCAGCTCTGCGCTCCAGCCAGATAATTTCCTTGAAGGTTTGTAGGTTCCAGAAGGTCTCCTGGCCCCTCTCCCCTGAGAGGCTTCCTGAACATACAGCCCAACATTGCACATCCCCAGGCCCCGGCAGTGGGAGCAGGTGGAGCTCTGTGTGCGACTGCTGCCCCAGAAGGCAGCAGCTGCAACCTGGAAAGGCTACGCTTGGGCTCCCGATCCCCAGCTGGGCACACTCGCAGCCCAAGCAGCTCCTGGTTTGTAATGCTCATCCTGGGAGTCGCTTGTGATTTAAGTGCTTTCAAAACCAAGCGGTTGATGACAGTGTATGCCATCTTTTTATTTTCGCGTGGGCTCTAAGGGCCTCCTAAAGCCAGGGGTTGCTCAGATTCAAGCAGTAGAGGGACTGGAAGCTGCAAGAACTTCCAGAAATGAAAATCACGTTAGATAATAGGATTGCAAGTTGCCTCCCTCAAAAACGCGGTTGAACTTTCTGGAGACATCTTTGCCCAGCCTCTATTTTCCAGGCCCTCCAGCCCCAGGGTGAGCCCTCAGCAGCACTTAGCATGTGCCCACAGTGGCCGCACCCTCAGCCAGCTCAGCCCGAGGAGCCAAGCTTGGCACTGCCCTTGACCACCCTCCCACATGTGCTGACACCAGCCTTTCTTGCTCAACCAAAAAAAGAACCCACCAGCCACACACCAGCCCAGCTTCAAGTACCAATTTTGCTGGCCTGGTGGCTCCCTGGCCAGAACCTCTGAGTTGGCTCCCTTCTGTCCAGCGAGCAGGGACGGGTGGGGCCGGCAGTGCAATGTTGGGCTGCATGTCCAGTAGCCTCTGCAGCCCAGCATGGCCACAGAGGGCAAGGCTGGCCATGGCGGAGGGCACTGTCCCATTCCGGGGGCTGCTGGCCAACACCCTAAACTCCGACCTGGAGTGCAAGGCCGGGTGATGACCACAGCTCCTCCCAGGGGACAGCTGTGCCATCCAAGGACAAGCTCCGCTCTGCACCCTCAAGCCAGGAGAGTACCCTGTCCACTCCTTCCTCCCGCTGCTCATGTGCACGCTAATCTCTCTTCTCTCTTCCTCTGCTCGGTTCCCTCTTGGCTGCCCTGCCCTCCTGGCGACTTTCGGCATCAATCTGAATACCTGGGATCTTTGGCCTTTGCCCTCTGGCCCTCCAACTCATCTTTCTCCTCAGCTGCTGCCTCTCCTCAATTCAGTGCGACTGGCTCCACCCCCGGTCATAAAAAGGCGGACGTTCCAGGTAGACACTTCCCATTTGTCCAGACCACGTGTGGTCTGGCTTTCCCGAGGGTCCTGGCAAACCTGCTGGGGCTGTAGACAAGGCCAGAACCTCACTCCAATTCAGTAAAATTAAATTAGACAAAAATAGATCCACGGGCCGGGCATGGTGGCTCACGCCTATAATCCCAGCACTTTGGGAGGCTGAGACCATCCTGGTCAACATGGTGAAACCCCGTCTCTACTAAAAATACAAAAATTAGCTGGGCATGGTGGTGCATGCCTGTAGTCCCAGCTATTCGGGAGGCTGAGGCAGGAGAATTACTTGAACCCAGGAGACGGAGGTTGCAGTGAGCCGAGATCACGCCATTACACTCCAGCCTGGGTAACAAGAGCGAAACTCCATCTCAAAAAAAAAATAGGTCCACGGATGCCATAGACATGGAAATACACACACACCTCAGGAGACACACAACTACTACCACACAATGATTACTCATAACAGCCACCAACAAGAGCTGTCAGTGTGTGCCAGGCACCCTGTTACCCATTTCACAGGCCTGGTTATATTTAATTCTCCAACAGTTTAATGAATCAGGCATGATCATCCTTATTTCACAGATGAGGAAATCAAGGCTCAGAGAGGTTAACCAAGTTGCCAAGGTCACACAGCCAGTGCATTGCAGAGCAGAAATTTGTACCCAGTCTCTCTGCCTGTAACTAGCTGTGTGATTTGGGGCAAGTTACTTGACCTCTCTGTGCCCCAGCTTTTTCATCTATAAAATATGGATAATAACGGTGTTTATTTCATAGGGCTTTTGTTGATATATAAAGCACTTGGAATAGTTCCTGGCACTGTTTAAGAGACATAATTGTTGGCTGTTATTATTACTACTATCCATATTTTGGAGATAAGGAAACTGAGGCTCAGAGAAGTGAATTGATTTGCCCAAGGTTATATTAACAGTAAGAGGCAGGATGGAAACTGGCATTGAAACAGAATTGGAATTGAAGTCAGGTCTTCAGACCCTCCATCTAGGGCTCTCTCGGCTGGACCTAACTCCTCTCTTCTTAGAAGAGTAGACCGCTTAGCATCTGACCCCTCGTAACCGGAGTTTGGGGAGCAAGGGAAGGGAATCTGTGGAGGGAATGTAGTCCACAGCCAACTTGTGGGCAACTGCTTCCTTCTTCCTGCCTTCTGAGCTCAAGGAGGTGGGACAGGGGCAGATCACAAACAGCAAAGCCATCAGGCCACTGCTCCTCAAGAGACCACAGCTTGATTCCAGGCCGGGTGGCCCGCCGTGCTCCTCACCTTTCTCACACTGCACTGGGTTCCCCCACCCAGTAAAGGGACACCAGCAGTGGCAGGGCTGACCTGCTTTCTAAAGCCTGACCATAGAGCCTCGAGTCACCATCCGGCGTGACTCAACAGTCAGGAGCCCAAGGGCCTGGACGTTTAGGCACCTGACTGAACAAGGCTGAAAACTCCCTCCAATTAACAGCTAAAAATACAGAGGGACACGTGACTCCAGTGCCACCCGAGCCTGCAGGCCGTGTATCACCTTACGCCAGCCAAATCCTCGAGAGCCTCTGTGTGCCCGAGCACTCACTGGAGCTTGGTTACTCAGGGGGCCTGCTGGCAGCACAGAGAAGCACCAGGCCCACCCCTGTCACCCACCCAAGCCCATGCCGGACCCCATTTCAGGAGAACTGAGTCCACACTCAGAATAGCCACTCTCGGGGCCCCAATGGCAGTGACCTCCAGGCCGTAGCTGTATCAGCTGTTCTTTGTTGAGCTCTTGCTGGGTTCCAGGCATTGTTGTGAGAATTCTACGCAAATTATCTCATGCATTCCCCACACCAGCCACCTCATTATCCCCGCTTTGCAAAGGAAGAAAATGAGAGGGGTGCAGGATTCTGTCCTGGCTGCTGCATGTTACTGCCTCCCTTTTCAAGAGCAAGAGGTTAAGCCAGAACTTTTTGTACTACCCTGACCTGCTTTCCAAAGTAGAGAAAGAAGACAAGAAGCTGCTGAGCTGCCTGCTGCAGACTCTGCCTCCAGAATCAGGTTTTTTACGCTGTCGGCCACGATGGACATAAAAATGCTTGTCCATTTCCTATCAATAAACCAATATTGATTTTACAGGCTCTGCAAGCCACTTAAACATTGGGTCTAAGATTCGCTGAAAAAAGAAACTTTAGATGAGATATGATGTGCTTTGCAGATGGCACTGGAGGTCATTTCCAAAGTGCAGAAAGAGTAGAGGGTGAGCCCTTTCTGCTGGGGACTTTCCAAATAGGAAAGAACAGGAAGAATCTGAAGTTCCAAGTTTGGGTCCTGGCACCACCGTGAATTCCCCTGTGATTTTGATCAGGGAATTCAACTTCTCGGAGCTTCAGTTTTCTCTTCTGCAACGCAAGACTTGCAACGTTGTGAAGATTCTAGAATTCGGGAGTTTGCTTCAGACTAAGCCTCCCCCATCTTGTGAATGTAGAAACACCATGAAAAACATAAACACAAAAAGTACAGGATTCTGAGGTGGTTCTGGGACCCAAGCAGCTGAATCAGATTTAATGTGGTTGAAAAGGAGGCTGCATTTGTCCCTTCTTAAGGCCTGAGGCTTAGTGAAGCCTTTCTCAGTTCAGAAGAGACAGTGCCACCTGAGACTTATCAATGACCTACAGGCAGGGCAGCCACCGAAGTGATTTCGGCACCTGCCTCCTCTGCCACCGACACCCTGAGCCCTAAAGTGGCTTCGCAGAGAGTGTGGCAGGATAAGGCCTGGATCCCAGAGTGATGCTGCTGGATGCCATCTGCCCACAGGTGTTCCAGCCACAAGCTGGTGCTAGCAGGTCTTGCTGAAAGCTTCCATTTCTCATTCCCAGGTTGTACACTCCTGTTTATCACCACGGCTTCCCTCTAGAGTTTGCAGCAAGCATCATCAGCTGCCCTCCTCACATGAGGAAGCTGGAGACCCAGTGTGTCATAGGGGCTTGCTGAGATCCTCTGAGAAAGGTGGGCCGGCCTGGAACCCCAGCCGCCTGCACCCCCCAGCATCCAGCCCGGAGCTCCCACAGCTGCCAGGAAGTTCTGCTTCAGCCCGTCTGCAGGGATGGTCCCCTCCTCACAAGAGCTAAGCCCAGATTGACCGAAGAGGTCATTTATCAAATAACGAACCAGGCTGAGAGCCGTGGCTCACGCCTGTAATCCCAGCACTTTGAGAGGCCAAGGTAGTTGGATCCTGAGGTCAGAAGTTTGAGACCAGCCTGACCAATGATGAAACCCCGTTTCTACTAAAAATACAAAAATTAGCTGGGCATGGTGGCATGCACCTGTAATCCCAGCTATTCGGGAGGCTGAGGCAGGAGAATCACTTGAATCCAGCAGGCGGAGGTTGTGGTAAGCTGAGATCATGCCACTACACTTCAGCTTGGGCAACAAAAGGTGAAACTCCGTCAAAACAAACAAAAACAGAAAATAATAAACCAGGGAACCAAAGTTGGTTTAGATCTAGGATGACTCTGCCTTGCCCCTGCCCTGAGATCTGGGTCACAAGCACCAGGCCATCTCCTCCTCCCAGGGGAGTGTGATGCCATCCCTACCTCCCTGGGCTCACAGTCCATTCTGGGGACAGGCATGGTGTGTGGTGCAGGCTGGGCTCAGAGAAGGTGGCGGAGGAGACAAGGGAATGATAACAGCCTCCCCGCAAAGCATAAAGCACTTCGACACAGCTTCCAAACTCTTTCAACAAAACTGAGGCTCAACTTTCCTCTGAGGCCAGGTAGATCCCCTAAGTAACAGAAGCAGGCTGTGTGTGACAAGGGCTAGGAGGGAGAGGACAAAAGCAGCCAGAGAACTCAGGCCCCACTTAAAGGTCAGCCACTCCTTGGACATAGGAATGTGGGCCCAGCACAGCCAGGGTCCCCAGTGTTTCATCAGAAGCCATCCGAATTTTGTACGTAAAGTCTCCTGCTCGGTTGTTTACTGAGCGAAACAAAATTCCATGGGCTTTGACCTAAGGATCCCATTTGATCCTCTGGGGCAGATAGTCAAAACAGCAAAAAGCTGAGACAGGAAATGAGGGCTATTGTTCCCATTCTGTGGCTGAGAGGCTGGGGCTTGGGGAGACCCTGTGCCTCACCACACAGGGAAGGTGACAGATGTAAGCCCAGCCCAAAGATTCCGGCCATCTGGCCAGGGTGGGAGCAGGCCTTTGGTTGGGCCAGGGGCTATCTCTCACCCACTCCTCTGCCTCTGCCATCTGCAGAACATCTCTACGTGGCTGCTCTGTGCAGCAAGTCCTCTTTGGAAGCCCCACCTTCGGGGACCTAATGTCTTGGCCTTCTTCTCACTGCCACCAGCCCCTGCATGTCATCACCACCACCACAGCATCATCACCATCATGCCACCATCTCCTCCCGCCATCACCACTGCCTTCCCAGCAGAAATCACAGCAGGCCTTCATGGGGTGCATGGCAGTAAGGATGGAGCTGGTCTGCAGCTTTGGGAGCCTTCCCTCTAACATTTGTTTTCACAAACCTCAGGGTGAACAGAGCCAGGCCAGCATCCAAGGTCCACCAGGGCCCCCAGGGCCCCCTGGACCCAGTGGACCTCTGGGGCACCCAGGACTGCCAGGGCCTATGGGGCCACCTGTAAGTATCCCCTTCCTCTCTCCTTCAAGACTTGTCCCAAGAACTCTCTGGAAGCCTCCTAACTTTGAATAGACAGTGGGTCCCCTAAAAAAGGCAGAAATGTCTTGGAAAGTCCATTGGATGTGGGTGAAGCACACAAGGGGCTACTCCTCCCCATCACGCTCACCACCTGTTGCACTCTGGCTCTGAAACACAGCTCGGGCCATGTCCCCTGCCTTCCAGGAAAGAGACCACTAATGGACTGTCCCATTCCCAGCCCCAGTAGAGGGGAATTTGGAAAGAGAATTCCCAAGGGCACCTCTGATGGCTATCCCTGAGCCCCTTAGGAAAACCTGAGTCAGGGGCAGTGGATTTTGAAGGAGGTAGTGAGGGTTCAGCCAACTACCTGGCACCCCAGTGACCAGGCCTTCCAGGGGTATGTGTGGGTTTCACACTGCTGGGCCACCTGCCAGCTGAGCTGAAGGTCCAGTCACCTGAGAGCCCCATGCCAAGCTTGAAGATGTGTCAAGCCTGTAGGGCCACTGCTTGAAGATGTGTCAAGCCTACAGGGCCACTGCCTGGAGGGCTCCAGAGAGGCCAACTGGCACCCCTCCAGACTGAACCACATTCAAGTGACAGGTCAAGCCCGGTGGCCACCAAGTCACCCATGTCCAAGCCCTGGCTAAGACTCCACTCTTTCCCTGGGTATCCAGACTTCAGAGAAAACGGGGCTTCCACCCACCCATAAGACTAATGATATTGAAGAGGCAGGTAAAGGGCAAATGCCTTTTTAATCACGTTTTTCCCACATGGTAGAAACAAAGCCTGTTTTTCCTTCTTATGACAAAAACACCATAAATTCATTGTGAAAAGAATGGAACATAGACAAAGATGATGTTTATTTGCATCTCTGATAGTTTGGCTGGAACAGAGTCCCAGAGGTGGAATCGCTAGGCCAGAATGTCCCCAGCAAACAGTCCTCTGTGTATGCAGCTGCATTCTAGATGGCCTGGCTGCATGTCTGGACCCCTTGGCTGCCCAGCTTTCAATCTCCAAGCTTGTTATAGGGGATCCCTGGGCTAGAAAACAGCCACGTCCCAACAGGGCACCCACCTTGTTTGGGAAGGCCAGCACGGTGACCCCTGCAATGTTTGACCCACGCAGTGAATTCTCAATTTTTCCCCAATTTCTCCCCAGCACCCCAGAGAGTGAGATTTATCTTATTTCCACCAGTTTTTAGACGGGAAAACCTGAAGGAAAGGGAAACCCCTCAACCAAACTAAGCCAAGAAAACGAAAAAGTGCTCAAAATTCACTTTTTGCTGAACGCTTTCCACCCCACCCCTCCCAACACACTGGGCTCTCGCTGACTGAACCCACGCCAGGTGGTTTGCTTTGTTGGGTTGTTTACAACAACAACAACAAACACCGAAGGAAAAAGAAGAAAAAGAAAACCAGAGAATATGTTTTTTAAACCAATTGCAACAGACCACTCAGGCATCAAGGCTTTCTCCAGCCCACGCTTGCTGTCCGCATCTACACCCGAGGCTGTGGTGGAGCCAGCCTTCCCTGGCCTCTCCCTCAGCTCACACCACCTCACTGTGGCCAGCTGCCATGCCCACAGTACCCCAAGCAGAAGGAGAGAGAGGGCCCCTCTGCCAGTAGGCAGGACCAAGGGCAAAAGCAAGGCTCTGCTGGGCAAGCCTGGCTATCTAGCGAGGGGTTCCAGTTAGGAGGTGGGTGAGTGAGGATCTGGACCAAACCACACTCAATTCAGCATGATGCTGCTGACCTACTTTCCATGGGTGCACACAGCAGAGTTGCCCGTGGCGCCCACATGACTGCAAAGAAGAACATAAGCCTGTTATCCGTACGTGCCCTCAGCAGGTTTCAGATCCCCTTTTGTCATCCCCTAGACCTGTTGTGTAGCATGCACATTCTTTTGCCATAGCTGTTGGGGGCTACTCTGCCCCCAGGGTCCACTGTTAAGTATGGATAGCCCCAACCATTTACCAGTGGAAACCAGTTCCACTCACCCTTTTTTTTTTTCTTGGTTCCACAGGGCTTACCTGGGCCTCCTGGACCAAAGGTGAGTGTCCTTCTGGGTGATGCATTGAACAGGTGGGAGAATTCCCTGCAGGAGGGAAGGGGATGCAGCACAGAAGGTGACTGAGGCAGGAGAGGAGAGGGGTCTCAGCTGAGAGATGGATCAAGCTTGACCCAGTTCCAAAACACCACCCTTCTCTTAGGAACTAACTTGGTTCCAATAAGAATTGCACTGCTTGTGTGCTCAGGCCAATGAAGCAGGCATTGAAGGCACAGTCCACCCTCCAAGGAGCATAGCGTCTAGCTGGAAACTGTAAGCTCATGCCCAGAACACTGTCACCATATCCCAATAAAACAGTATTTTGTAAGTTGTCAGAATAGGAAGAGACCTCTAGGGTCATCCAGTCTCCTGTGAACACTCACCCAGAAGCCCACAGTGTCAAACAGGCTCTCTGGGGACCCTGGGGCTCTGGAGACTAGAAGTTGCCAAGCACTGGTTTTATGAATGCAGAAGCTAAGAGCCCTGGGGGAAAGTGACTTGTCCATCCATGTTCAACAGAGTCAGGTCTCCCGGGACCCTACCCAACTGAGTCTTCCCACCATTCCTCAGCCTCTGCAAAGTGGAGTTTGTTCTCAAGAGTAGAACAATCTGTGTTGGCCTCAGAGGAAGCTAAGAGCTGTTGCTCCTGGGAAGGCTGGAGATGGGTATTGAAGGGGTAGTGGGACTGGGAGTCATTGAGAGGAAGAGGAATAAATAGTATTGTGTAGGAAACAGCACAAGTCAAAGTTTGGCAGGGAAATAAAAAGTTCTTATGGCCTTCTCTTTGTTTCCTCAGGGAGATCCAGGGATCCAGGGCTACCACGGCCGGAAGGTAAGATGGAGGGGGAGGACCCAAGTGGGGCAGGACTTTGGACAAATCCATGGCCTACTGGACCTCAGACCCAAGAGGGTCTCTCCCTGTCAACCTAGGTGGCTGTGCCTGTACTGAGGCAGGCCAGGGTCTCACTGGCACCCCAAGCTCCTGATAAGTAGGAGCCAGACTACTGGGATCCACTAGGCAGAGTTCTGTGCTGAGCAAGGTTGTAGGAGGTGGAGGGGTCCAGCTCTCACAAGCCAGAGTCAGAAGCTTTCCTGCACAAATAACCCCAGTGAAGGCAGACTTTAATAAGTGCTCCCATCACAAGGTACTGCGTGATTACAGGAGGTGGAGAGACAAATTTCAGGTTGAGACAAGTCTGGGAAATATTCTGGGACAAGACAGCCGAGGAACTCAACCTTGATGAATGGGTGAATGTATCAGTTATCTATCACTCTGTAGCAAACTATTCCAAGTTTACTGACTCTCTCTTACAATTCTGTGGATTGACAATCTGGGAATTCTGCTAATCTCACCTGGCTTCACTCATGCAGTCATACCAAATGACAGATGGAAGTGTGGGAGGGGGCAAGATGGCCCCATTCACATATCTGGTGGCCGATGCTGGCTGTGGGCTGGGGTCCCCTGTTCTCCACATGGCCTCTTTATCCTCCAGGAAGCTAGACAGACTTCCTTAACGGCACAGCAGGTCCAGGGCAACATTCAAAATAGGCAGGTCCCAGTGCATAAGGACTTTTCATGGATCTACTTGCATCACATTTCCTAATGTCTTATTGGTTGAAGCAATCACGTGACCAAGTCATGTGCATCAGTGTGAGAAGAGTCTTAGGCTCTACTTCTTCATTGGAGGAGTAGAAAGGATTTGTGGCCTTTTTTTTGAGACAAAGTCTCGCTCTGTCTCCAGGCTGGAGTGCAGTGGCGCAATCTGGGCTCACAGCAAACCCCATCTCCTGGGTTCAAGCGATTTTCCTGCCTCAGCCTCCTGAGTAGCTGGGAATACAGGCACCAGCTACCATGCCCAGCTAGCTTTTGTATTTTTAGTAGAGACAGGGTTACACCATGTTGGCCAGGATGGTCTTGATCTCTTGACCTCATGATCCGCCTGCCTCAGCCTCCCAAAGTGCTGGAATTACAGGCGTAAGCCACTGCGGCCAGCCTTGTGGCTACTTTTAATCTACCACTGTGAGCCTTCAACCAGCAAATCTGAAAGCAAACAATATTTTAGATAGGTAAACAATTTGAGCAAAGACCCAGAAGCAGTCATTACAATAACTGTAATAGCAATAATAATTTTATGGTAGTCACTACTTAACATGTGCTATGGTCCAGGCAGTCTTTCAACACAACCTGCAATATTTTTAGCACTAAAACCACTCTATGAGGCTGGTATGACTATTCTCCTATTCAATAAAGCAGAAACTTGTGTGTCTTAGTCCATTGCATGTTGCTATAACAGAACACCACAGACTGGGTAATTTATAAAGAAAAGAAACTGATTTCTTACCATTGTGGAGACTGGGAAGCCCAAGGTCAAGGGACCCACATCTGGTGAGGACCTTCTTGTTGTGTCATCCCATGGTAGACAGTGGAAGGGCAGGAGAGGACAAGAGAACACGAGCAAGAGAAACCTGGGCTCACTTTTATAACAAACCCACTCTCGCAACCACAAATACAATAACTAACGTGCAATAACCAACCCACTCCCATGATAACTAACTCACTCCCACAATAACTAACCCACTTCCATGATAACTAACCCATTCCCATGATAACTAACCCACTTCCATGATAACTAACCCACTCCCATAATAACTAACCCACTCCCACAATAACTAACCTAGTCTTTCAATCACAAACACATTCCCATGGTAACAAATCTTCTCCCACAATAATTAACCCACTCCCACAATAAACAACCCACTCACAATAGCAAACTCATTCCCACAATAACTAACTCATTCCCACAATAACTAATTCACTCCCACAATAATTAACTCATTCCCACAATAACTATTTCATTCCCACAATAATTAATTCACTCCCACAATAACTAACTCATTGCCACAATAACTAATTCACTCCCACAATAACTAACCCACTCTTGCAATAACTAATTCACATCCACAATAACTAACTCATGATAACTATCCCACTCCCACGATAACTAACCCACTCCCATGAAAGCAACATGAATATGTATTCATGAGGGCAGAACTGTCATAACCTAATCACTTCTTAAAGGTCCCACCTCTCAACACTGTTTCACTGGAGATTAAGTTTTCAGCACAAGAGTTATGGGGGACACATTGAAACCACAGCACTGGAGCTTGCCCAAAGTCTCCTAGCTCATAAGTGGCAAAGCAGGAGTTCAATTCCAGGTCTGGGTCCTTCCCATGGTACCACCTGCTGTAAGGACACCATCCCTTCCCTCCAGTCCCTGGCTGGGAAGCCACTAGAGCCTTCCAGCAGGAGAAAAGAGGCAGGAAGGAAAGGCAGCAGCAGGAGGGGGAGGAAGGTTGGAAAGGGAAGAATCACTCCTGGCGAAGCACATTCCTCACACCCTGCAGTCAGGCGGCTGCCATCACCACATGGCTTTATGGGTGCCTGGTGAATGAAATGGCAAGACCTGAGAGATCTTTAATTAGTTCTACATAAACTAAGATATTTGTATTGTGTCAGGAAGTGGAAATCAACCCCCGCAGTTGCCTCTGTCCACTCACACAGACTCATAAAATTTACTGCCTCCTGGTGCAATGCGGGGTCAGTTTTTCATTAGCAGCCTTGCCAGCTCTTTCAAGCTGTGGAGGGGTTGCAGAGCAGCAGAGGATCTCCAGGCATCACAGCAATGCCCTTGGCTGGCATCATACCATGAAAGGTGTCTGCATTCTGCTGCAGGCTGGAAGAGTGATTCATCCAGAAAGGAGCATGGGGTCTGCTGTCCTGAGGATGGAGACTCCTCTGCTTAGGGTTAGGGTGTCCTGATGCTAGAGGGCCTGATCCCAGGAGAGTGGCGATCCTAGACTCAGATTGTAGGAAGAAACATTCAGCCTGGGCTACACTGAATTTGCAGAGAAGACCTGCATAAGCCTGCTTATGGGGGAGTACTTCCTGTCCCCAGGAAGCGGGAGGTTTGCTCAGAGTCACCCTGCTCTAGCATGGAAGAGGGATCATACTTCTTGTACAAATGCCAAAGAAGTAGAGCAAGTGTCAATGAGTAAACCGTACAAGAAGAGCAATTCCAGCTCCAGAAGAGGGAGCTTCCTAATCGCCAGATGCCTTGGGAGGAAGGGAGGAAGTTCTGGTAACCAGAGGTGTTCAATTAGAGGCTCGATAATGACGGGTCTGGGATGTGTTTAGAGAAGTGTCTATATCAGCTGGGAGACTGGATTAAAACCCCTTCCAGCTCAGGGAAGCCATGGCTTATGTGAACAGAGTTGGCTCCATACCCTTAAGAGAGGAGCAGCTCCCAGCCTCGTGCCCTGGCCTTGAGAGGAGGCTCTGTCTCCGTGAACCTTCATCCGTGTGTTTTCTCCATCCACATCCAGGGCTTATCAGAAGCATCCCCACTCCTCGGTCTCACAGGGAACTGAGGAGAAGACCCATCCCTTCATGCTGGCCTCTTGCCCCCCAGCCCTTCTTTCTCTGCCACACCACCCTCTCTGCTCTTCTCCAGTGGCCTCTTGTCCTGGAATCTGGAGGGGTGTGAGGCCATTACACCTGTCACTGCCTCTCTGGGTCACTGGAAGGTCCCCACTGCCTCCAAGCTCCCAACCTGTCGCTGAGTCTTTTCAGTAGGTGCCACTGGAGCCACTAGCCTTGCAAAGGCAGCAGCCCATGGCTGGTCTGGGCACCCTTTCCTCTGTGCTGGCCTTCACTCTGCTGGGTCCCTTACCTTGCCACCAACTATCCACTGCCTCCAAGTCCACCAGAGGCCAGAGGGCTGACACTGAGAACTATGACCAGCAGAAGACAGCCTGCCACCAGGGACTGGAGGTCATTCCTTGGGAGGCTACTAGTGCCTGTCCCACTGCCCCAGCCTCACTGGGACAGCAGGTGTCTTGACCCCAGTGATCACCATGATCAGGCAGTGGTTTGTTTTCCCTCTGAATCTTGAGATGAAGCGACTTTTTGTCTTTGGTGCCCAGTGACAAGTGCAGCAATATTTCACATCTCTAGTTTAGAAAGTTCATTTATTCTACCTTATTCAGTTCTTACCATGGCTCAGTGGTTGGAGCTCATTATATTCACTGTATAAATGAGAAGCACAGAGAGGTTAACACTTTGCCCAAGGTTGCACAGCTGGTAAACAACCATGCTGGAATTAGAAACCAGGTCTCATAGGTCCAAGCCCTGTGGCCAACTTTGTGCCCTGGTGCAGAAGTTGAATGTCTGCTCAGGGGGCTCACCCCAGGCTAAGCTAACTGCACAGACCAACCCCTCCCAATCTCCACCTACTAATGGTTTCTCTGGGATGTGGAGGGCTATCCCCGCTCCCTTCTTTTGCCCATCAAGTCCTCTCTTTTATTCTCTTCTCCACGCTCTGCTCTCTGCTTGGAGTAAGGCCCAGGGAGGAGGCACTAACATGAAGGGTGGCTTGGTCACAGGGGCTGGGAAGATGAGTTTGCCTTCCCCTACCACCCTGGGGAGGAACAGCGCCAGCAGGTGGGGATGCCAAGCTGAGACAGGGGCCATGTGACTGCCTCTTCAGGTCAGGATGTGAGCGGCACCTGTGAAGTAACTGATGGGCCCCCCACATGAACTTCCTTGCTTTATCCCAGAGATCTGATCTACATGTGGGGAGACCTTTCTCATACCACAGGCTCTCAGCCAGTGAAGTTTGCTAATGTCCACCACCACCCCCAGCAGCTGGACTAGGCCTGGCATCCTCTCAAAGGCCAGCCAGACCAGCAAGGCAAGCTTCTCCACCAGTTCCTTGAGATCAAAACTCAGTGTGGCCAGCAGCCCCTGTGCTGCCTCCTGCCCCAATCAGGGCC